AAAAAGAAGAAAAAAAAAGGGAGAGAATGTGATCAGTCAGGAGACTAGAACAAAGCCATATACTAGAGATTTAGGGTATATTTTGATCTGTTAGAAGAAATTGTATCTCAAAATTTTAAGGAGAGAACAACTTATATATATATATGCCAAAAATAAGGGTAACTACTATGAAGGGATAGAATATGACTCTAGAAATGAAAAATAAAAATGTTTTTTTACAAAAGGGATTGATAAGATGTTGGTTGAAAAAGGGAAAAAGAAAAATTCAAAAAATAATAGAAAAAAAAAGAAAATTAAAAAATTAACTTTGAAAGACTAAAGAATCATGGTAAAAAAGCCATGAATTCTATATGCAGTATTCCCCTAGTGCTGCAGTTCTGCCGTTCTCATTGATAGGTAAACTTGGTCTTGGCTGGCTGTTCTTGCTGATCTTCTGGGGAGGGGCCTGTTGCCGTGGTTCCCAAATGTCTTTGCCAGAGGCGGAATTGCCCCGCCCTTGCCGGTCCGGGCTAAGTAATCTGCTCGGGTTTGCTCTCAGGAGCTTTTGTTCCCTGCAACCCTTCCGTACAGCTTTGGAGGCCGAGAGTGAAAATGGCCTCCCAATCTCCACCCCGGAGGAGCCGAGAACTCGGGGCCCCACTCCTCAGTGTGCCCCCATAGAAAAGCAGTCAGTCACTCCCGTCTCCCCAGTCTCTGGCCGCACTCCATGCTCACCCGGCCTGGGACTGAGCATTTCTGTCTCTCTCACACGACCCTGTGTGGAGTCTCCAAACCCAGCAGAGCGCTGCGGTGTGCTCCCGTGCCACTCCTCCCAGGGGAGGAAGGGGAGTCTCTCCAGATCTGCCGCTTGTTGGGTCCCTGCTGGAGAAGCAGTGGCCCGATTGCACCGCGGATCAAGGTTTATAAGAACCCTGAGCTGAGAGCCCGCACCTCGGCTCCGTGTCTGCAGCCAGCTTCCCCGCTCCGATACCTGGGAGCTCTGCCACACTCAGGCACCCCCAGTCTTTCTGTGACCCGGGGGTCCTGAAACCACACTGTCCCATGAGGGTTCCACCCCCTGCTTAGCCACTGGAGCGATGTCCCTCAGCGGAGCCGAGTTCTAAAAGTTCCGATTTTGTGCTCCGTGGCTCTGTCACTTGCCAGAAGCGGCTGATGGAGGCCCCCTCCCCCGCCATCTATCCTCCCGAATATCGCCTTGGATTCACTTCTCTGCACGTCCTACCTTCCAGAAAGTGGTCGCTTTTCTGTTCAGAGAGTTGTTGCTATTCTTTTCTTCGATCTCCTGTTGAGTTCGTAGGTATTATGGTTTGATCCCTATCCAGCTGAATTCCTGAGACCAGACGAGATCCAGGTCTCCTACTCCTCTGCCATCTTGCTCCTCTTATTTTTAATTTTTAAAATATTTTTATTTATTAGAGAGAGTGCGGTGAGCGCTTGAGCTGGGAGAGGGGCATAGGGAGAAGCAGACTCCCTGCTGAGTGGGGAGCCCGATGACCCGGGGCTCCACCCCAGGACCCTGAGACCATGACCTGAGCCGAAGGCAGATGCTTAACCGACTGAGCCCCCCAGGAGCCCCCCAGTAATGCTGTTTATCACAACAAGCGTTGTGAATGCCACAGTGGAGATGTGTGGGGTGTGGCAAGGATCTGAAGGAGGGAGTTGTTGGTTTAGCCTTGGGACCGGGAGCTGTCAGGAGAAGATTCACCGAGGAGGCTACCCTTGAGCGGAATAGCTGTCCATCATTCAGACAAGGCAGGAGGAGGGCAGAAAAGGAAAAACAGGATTTGAGTGTGTGTTTGGAGGGGTGGGTACTTGTAAGGGGATGGCTGGGGGCGGAATGTGAGGGAGGTAGGGGCCAGAATGGACTTCATTTATCTCTTGTAGAGATTCTAGAGAGATGGGCCTGGCTGTGGTATAGAATAGAAATCAAGGTGGGCCTGACAAAAAGCAGGGAAGCCAGGTAGGAAGCCATAGCCGCACTTTTCCAGATGGGGGGTGCTGTGTTTGCCTTTCTTCCTTGCCGATGGTCTCTCTCCCGGTGGTAATTAATAATTTTTGGACAGGTGGATTACCTAGTCTTTCCAGGAGGAGTAGAATGGGCCAGAAGGTGGGGTTTGTGCGCCCCCCTTTCCTGTGTGCCACTTCCTGCCCCCCACTTATTTTTTTTAAAGATTTGTTTATTTTAGAGAGAGAGAGCAAGAGCACGCATACAGGCGCAAGTGGGGGGCAGGAACAGAGGGAGAGGGAGAAGCAGACTCCCCACTGAGCATGGAGCCCTATGGGGGGCTTGATCCCAGGACCCTGAGATCGTGACCTGAGCCAAAATCAAGAGTCGGACACTTAACCGACTGAGGCTCCCAGGTGCCCCCTTGCCCCCCACTAATTAATCAGCAGCAGTAGGTGAAGATGGCCCAGCCATCCCAGTTGTTCTGCTCAGTGAATTCTTACCTCCCTAGTCCACCGAGGGAAAGAAAAGGCTGCTGTTAGCCAGAAGCAGATACCTGTGATGTGTCAGGGGTAATGGGAAGAATTTGGGCCCTTGAGAGCCCCATTGGAAGAGCAGACGCACAGTGATGGCCGGTGAATGATGACCTGTCCCCACAAAAGACGTAGGACGTAATCACAGTGGACTGTGAAGGCCATTCTGAGCCAGAATGTACTTTACATGGCCAGCTTAGATCCTTGGGCAGCCAGGTCCTCAGTGTTGTCAAGTTTTGGCTGAAAGAAAATGCAGAAATCTCCACTGATCTTCATAGTTGTGTTTTAAGTGATGTATTTTTCTTCCAGTATATTGTAAATGGAAAGCGGAAAGATACTCAGAAAAAAATGTAAAAATCAGGGCGCCTGGGTGGCTCAGTTGGTTAAGCGACTGCCTTCGGCTCAGGTCATGATCCTGGAGTCCCTGGATCGAGTCCCACATCGGGCTCTCTGCTCGGCCGGGAGCCTGCTTCTGCCTCTGATCCTCCCCCCTCTCATGTGCTCTCTCTCTCTCTCATTCTCTCTGTCTCAAATAAATAAATAAAATCTTAAAAAAAAATGTAAAAATCACTCAAATCTAACAGCAAGAAATACATGTTAACATTTGGGGTCTTTTTATCATGGTGTTACATGTTTAACTTTACATCTGGCTGCTTTTTTATGTGACATGTGTACGTACTCTTTCCTCGAACACAATATTTCAGAAGCGTTAATAAAGATACCAGAGTCAGGGAGCCTGGGTGGCTCAGTTGTTAAGTGTCTGCCTTCGGCTCAGGTCATGATTTCGGGGTCCTGGGATCGAGCCCTGCGTTGGGCTCTCTGCTCAGCGGGGAGTCTGCTTCTCCTTCTCTCTCTGCTGCTCCCCCTGCTTGTGCTCTCTCTCTGTCAAATAAATAAATAAAATCTTAAAAAAAAAAAAAGATACCAGAGTCACCTCTCCAGTGGGCTGGGATTTTTCCAGTTTCCTTAGAAACCTCTATGCTTTGCTGATCTCCTGTCTGCCTGTCTGTCTCTTTCAGGACATCTCTCTTCCATTTTATTTACATCTTTTGCAAGGAAGGGTCTGAGCAAACCCAGGTGGAGGTGGGGTTGCAGATCTCTAAGCCTTCTGACATTCGCGGTCAAAGAATATTTTCTCAGGAGTTGGGGCCCGTATGGAGGAAGGACAGACTCAGTCGTGAGGAGGGAGTATAAGCCAGCTGCATGGCCTTGATCTCCTGTGCCCCCACCCCCGTGATTCCACACGAGGAGGAGAACGTCAAAGCGAGCTATGCCTTGCAGCCAAGTGGGTGGACTATTAATACCCAATAACGAAAGTCATTTTAAGATCACTCTCGAGCAGTGAGAAATGATAGTGATGAGTGACCTGCTTTCCAGCCCAGTTTCACAATGGCCTTCATTGGCTTTACCTGACCTCCTCACTGGGGTTGTAGGGCCCCTGATGACCACGTGGCCAGTCTGGACCCACGAGGAGTCCCCGTCTTGTCCCCGACGGAATCATCCCAATCTCTACTCCCCTTCAGTAGTGGTACCAGTAACAAACCTAGGAGGAGCCCCTGTGCCAGTCCATGTACCAGAAGATGCTGTACGCACTTACGCCAGCTCACTTCTTGGTCACTTCTGCTTATTTCTTCTGGGCCAGCCTTGCAGAGCACTCTTCACACGTGGCTCCTGTCCTCGATGGCAGCTCTCTGGACATTTGCTGGCCCACTAATTGGCCTTCCCTCCCAGAGACCTGGGCCAAGGGGCCCTTTCCTCACTCCTGCTCTCCCTTGATCATGTCGGGATTTGTATGCTACTCTGCTAACAGAGATCTCCAAGTAGACACTCGCAGTGGTGGTGTGTGCTGGTTGACCTGGACCCCCTCTGATGCGGCACCAGCAAAGCCCCAGGGTCTCTGTTCGTGGGGACACACTGGCACCCCCCTTGGTTGTGTCTGATGTCAGGAAGAAAAGGAAAAAGTCCTTTGAGCTCTTTTCTTCACATCTCTAACGAGGAGTAAAAGAGGGTTTTTTTTTTTTTTTTAAGATTTTATTTATTTGACAGAGAGAGACACAGCGAGAGAGGGAACACAAGCAGGGGGAGTGGGAGAGGGAGAAGCAGGCTTCCCGTCGAGCAGGGAGCCCGATGTGGGGCTCGATCCCCGGACCCTGGGGTCATGACCTGAGCCAAAGGCAGACACCTAACGACTGAGCCCGGGTCCCTAAAAGAGGGTTTTGTGTGAGAACAGTGACAAGGGTGGAGAGGGAGGCAGAGACCACCGTTCCAGTCCAGCTGAGCAGAGAAGAGAGCCGCTCCAAACCATCTTGTCCACGAAAGCAGGTTGGCATTTTGCCACCCCTGTAGCCACGTCTCCGATCTTGTTTTCTTGGACACTGTTTCCCCTGATCTGTCATTTGTGTCCGTAGCAAAAGAAACCTTGCCTGGCTGAAGCCATGATCAGGGTTTGCTTGGTGGAGGTGGCAGCCTCTTTCATGGAATCACGGGCTCTCCTGTCTGACCTTGTCTCCTTCCGAACATAGGTGGTGCTTCCCACGTTCATCCTGGAGAAGCGGTCCCTGCTGGAGATGTACGCAGACTTCATGGCGCATCCAGACCTGCTACTGGCCGTCACCGCTGGGGCCACACCGGAGGAGAGGGTCATTTGCTTCGTGGAGTATTATCTCACGGCCTTCCACGAGGGCCGCAAGGGGGCCTTGGCCAAGAAGCCCTACAACCCCATCATCGGTGAGACGTTTCACTGCTCCTGGGAGGTCCCCAAAGACAGCGTCAAGCCAAAGAGGACTGCTCCCCATTCTCCTGCTGGCCACGAACACCCGATGGCCGAGGACCCTTCCAAAAGCTACAAACTGAGGTTTGTGGCCGAGCAGGTGTCCCATCACCCACCCATCTCCTGCTTCTACTGTGAGTGCAAGGAGAAGAGACTGTGCGTCAACACTCACGTATGGACCAAAAGCAAGTTCATGGGCATGTCCGTGGGGGTCTCCATGATAGGGGAAGGTAAGCCATGTTGTACGTTTGGTGGAGCTTGGCTCTTACACGGTGATGTTGGTACCCCTGAGAGATGATTGATGATTGTGTGTGTAGAATTCTTTGTGTTTGTTTTGTTTTGGGATTGGGGGTGGCTGAGTAGTAAAGAGGGACGGGTTTTGTTATTTTGGGGCCAGGCCCTGGTAATTTCCCAGTGGGGCCAAGGTTGCAGAGTAGATGGGATGCACCTGGATCTTTACACATTATGCGTGTATGGGGCCCCCCTTACGTACTATTTTTATTTTCAGCTCTGCATGAATATTAAGAGTTGGCTCCAAATCTGTGAAAACACATTTTTGTTCATTCTCACCTGTGTTCTGGCTCACAGACAGTAAGGATAATAGGGCTGCCTATTCCGAATCTGCTCATAAACATTCCCAAGGCAGATCTCTGGATTCTGCTAGAGATTTCTGAAGCAAGAACAATGTAATCACACCACACGTGGATCGCACATTCTTATTTTAGCAAATAGCTATGAATGAAATTTATTCATTGTTGGAAGAAACCTATAATAATCCTTGTTAAACTGAGGCATCTGTGTTCATGGTTCTTCAACTTCTCTGGGTCACAATTCCTTTGAGACTCTGAGACTATGGATTCTCTTCTCGAGAAAGGGAAAGAAAAAAATCCAACCCAAAATTTAGTCTTCAGTTTCAGGGAGTACATGACTCCTTGGAAGCCCTTCCAAGAGTCCATGAGATTAAGAATACCTCTCATTGACTTAGGGCATTTTTATTGAGTACCTACTAGATGCCAGACACTGTGTTAGGGGCTATGGATCCTTGTGTGAACAAAATAGACCTCTCCCCCCAAAATAAATCTCTGTTCTCATTCAGCTTCCATTCTACTTCTGTTTTCCTGGTAAATGAAATTATGTTGGTTGTGTGGGAAGGTGTGAGGTACTATGCAGAAAAATAAAGCAAGGGGGAGGAAGCCGGGAGCAATGGGGATAGGGCAGGGGGGCCTTAGGATGGGATGGGATGGCATGGCGGCCTTCTGCCAGTTGCCAAAGGCCCACCTCATGCCCCCTGGTTTGTACTGGTGGAGTCTTCCCTTTGATTTAGAAACAAAAATGCGGATTCAGACCTCATCCTGTTTCACTTCATTCCTTATCCTAAGTCTCCCACGTCAGGAATCACAGGAAGGCGAAATGTTTGTTTGCGGGAGGAGGCGGAGCGTGGGGGCTGTTTCCACTTTCGTGTCCCCCCACCGGCTGCGCGCACCGATGGCCGGCACCTTCTCTACAGACCTGTTTCCAGTGTGTTTCCTCCCTGCTCTCTAACGGGGCGGGTCAGTCAGTCCGCCGGGTTACTGGCTCACCTGGGAAAGGCGTGGTGCCGTTCCTGGTGGCAGGCTCGCCGCTCAGCTGACGTCTGGGGCACGTGCCGGCCAAGTTCCCCGGGGACCGGCGCTGGCGGGACGGCGAGTGGGGGCCACCACTGTTCCTGGGGCAGACCTCCCCGAGAAGGCAGCCGCTGTTGTTTTTTTTTAAAGATTTTATTTATTTGACAGAGAGAGACACAGTGAGAGAGGGAACACAAGCAGGGGGAGTGGGAGAGGGAGAAGCAGGCTTCCCGCCGAGCAGGGAGCCCGATGTGGGGCTCGATCCCGGGACTCCAGGATCATGACCTGAGTGAGAGGCAGAAGCTTAACAGCTGAGCCACCCAGACCCCCCTCCTCTGTTCTGTCTTTATAGCACTTTTGTGCTGCCTCACTTGGTACACATAGTATTTGTTAACATGATTGAGCTTCTTTTTTTTTTTTTTTAAGATTTTATTTATTTATTTGACAGAGAGAGACACAGCGAGAGAGGGAACACAAGCAGGGGGAGTGGGAGAGGGAGAAGCAGGCTCCCCGATGAGCAGGGAGCCCGATGCGGGGCTCGATCCCGGGACCCTGGGATCATGCCCTGAGCCGAAGGCAGCCGCCCAACCGACTGAGCCAGCCAGGCGCCCCCAGAATGCAGCCTTTGATAGAGAGGAGCCGTGTGGATGGCTGGAGGAAGGGCGCTGCAGGCCCAGAGAGCAGGAGGCTCGGGTGCCCGGGATGAGCGTGTGAGGCGGGGCTGTTCTAGGAACTTCTGGCGGCTGCTGTGGCTGGAGCAGAGGGGACAGGTCAGAGAGGAGGGGCCCGGCCATGAGGGCTGGCTCGGGGGCTACAAGAACCCGGGCTTTTCCCTGAGTGAGGTGTGAGTCCGTGGACGGTGGACAGGGCCGGACCTGCGTCCCCAGGGATGCTGGGTGGAACAGAGGAGCTGGGAGCGGGGAGGACCCGGGGGCACAGGCCGGGGGAGACAGACGAGTTGTTTCTTTTCTCGTCCTCCCTCCCCCACACACATACTTTCAGTCGGTGATTGGCCAGGCTAATCTTCCGATAAAGCCAAATGCACGTTCAGGTACACAGAGGAGGTATTCAAGTGCCTTTCTGGGGATTCCCCTGTGCTCAGCAGAAATACCTGCTGCTCTGGGTCAAGGCAAGGCAAAACCACAGATTCTTAAATAGGAATACAGGGCAGGTGCCTCCCAGTCTCTGGGCCCGGGAGTCAGGATTCTTGACTTTGGACAAAGATCTGGAAATTTTCCATAAAGGTGAAGATTTGCAAATCTAGGAATCCAGGGAATTCTCAGTCAGTGAAAGTCAGTCTCTCCCCAGCCATCCACGTCAGGAGTGGGCTCTGGTGAGGAGGCTGTGTACAGCTGTGTTGCCTGTCTGACTGTGTTGTCGTGCTAGCCCGGCCCTTCCAGCACATTCTGCGCCTCTCTCCCCTTCCCTGGGTTCTCTGTTACCCTGCTCCGTCCTGGGCTGGGGCTCCTTCCTTCACCCAGCCGCATACATGACCTCCATTCCTCTCCTCTGGAACTATACTTGAGAATGGTGGGTCCTTCTGCCCCCACCATGTCCCTCACTCCCCGCACCCTGAGGTGAGCCAACATCTTCACTTTGTCTTATTGCTGGTGGTTGATGAGTGAGAGTGTCTCAGGGTGTTCACTCCCCTGTCCCAACAGGCGGCAGATAGGGCCTGGGGCCTTCAATTCACTGGGCACAGCTCTGGGCACGCTGGATGAGTCTCTTAATGCAGTGGGTGGGAGATCATATAACACCCTCTCCTGAGGCCCTCACTGTAGCCATCCCTGAAGTAGAATTAGAATCTGCTGCTCGAAAATTCTACTTAGAACTTCTTGGTAGAATGCTGGAATCAGAAAGAAAATTCTGGAGAGAGACTCTGGAAGGGCCCTCCCTGATGGCCCTTTCTGGCCACCCCCAGTGCATTCCTGCTGCAGATGGACCTGGGAAGGGTCAGGGGACAGACCCTTGGCTCATTCTTGTGAGGCCTTAAGTTTCCCCAAATCCTTCCAGAAGCTACATCCCCCTTTCATATTAATTAAATGTGCACTCTGTAACACCCAGGAGCCTTATTTTTCCCAGAAAATACTTTTTTTTAAAAAAAGATTTTATTTATTTATTTGAGAGAGAGAGCAAGAGAGAGGGAAAGCACAGAGGGAGAGGGAGAAGCAGGTTTCCCACTGAGCAGGGAGCCCGATGAGGAACTCTATCCCAGGACACTGGGATCATGACCTGAGCCAAAGGCAGATGCTTAACTGACTGAGCCAATCAGGCCCCCCCCCCCCCCGAAAATACTTTTAAGAGTCCCCAAATTTTGGAGCAAAAGGTTCCCGTTCCTGTATTCAGAGCTCCTTTGGGGGGCTGGGGGGATGGGAAGCCAGGATGTTTTTCTTTTCCTCACTAATTCCTCCTCCCGATCTAGCACATTCCATGACTTTGTTGATTGGGTCTGAAGTAATGTTTTTTCCACCCCCTCATTTTAAAAATTAGATCTTTAGTGGGTCCACAGGAAATTTTTGTATGTAAATACATGGGCTTATCTTTTAAAATACTGCCTTTAGGCCGTGCCATATTTGGCTACAGTAAAATGCCATTATACAATGCTTCATTACGCCTTGAACTCACTTAGGTCGCAGCTCAGAGACTGCTCTCCGCCCCCACCCAGGTCCCTCAGCCCTGGCACTCACACCCCTAATTGAGACACTGTTCAGTCCACCCGGCAGTTTGGTCCTCGGGGAATGTGACCCCTCTGCTCATCACCCGCCCTGTGGGGGAGCCGAGGCACTTTCAGCTGCTCTTGCAACCTGCTCCCCCCCCAAAACTCCAGAGCCAGAGCCCGGGAAATGGCATGGCTTCTTAATTGAGTCTGTGGGAAGAGGCAGTTAGTTCTAGCTAGTTCTAGTGAGAGAACGCCAGGTTGGCTGGGTGCTTGGGAGTCCCGACGCTGCCGGGCCTGCAGACCCATGCCGAGTTCCTTTCTGCCATTCGGGGCTTCCCAGAGACAGCGTCCTACTGGAATAGTTTGGTTCCTCAGAATGAAAGTGGATGTGAAATTATTTTAAAGTATCAGTTTGAAAATCTTAATGCTTTGCCTTATGTTTACTGGTAAATCAATCTGTGGGATTTAAAATGGAAATCTTGCAGTTTGAAGACTAACCACGGTGTGGAAGTATTGATTATTTGGCATTTTTTTGGCTTCTCCGAGCTCTTAGGCTCATTAAAAAGGAACTTTCATTTGTGAGCCCATCTGTAAGTCTAGTTTTAATATAGTCTTTATTTCATATTAGGGACAGATTTTTTTTTTTTATGCAGCCCTGACAGAAGAGTTAGGACTGAGAAGGCATAATTGCAGGTGATTAATGAGAAAGCACACATTTATGGATTTTTAGAGAAGAGCTAAAGGAGTGTGGTCTCCCTGTGTTTTCCTACCAACTCAGCTTTGGGGCTCACTGATTTCTGTGGACTTCAGGTTTGCAAGAGATTTTTCCTTTTTCCTTTTTCTTTCTTCCGTTTTCTTTTTTCCTTTTTTAAGTAGGCTCCACAGTGGAGCCCGACGCAGGACAGAACTCATGACTCTGAGATCAAGAGTCAGACACTTCACTGCCCGAGCCACCCAGGTGCCCCTGCAAGACATTTTTCTAAAGATGAGTAGGAAGAGGATGCCTCCCACCTATCTCTTCACCTGCCGTGTGCAGCCTGCTGCGCCTTTGTGATTCACTCTTTATTCCCAAATGGAAATACCGCAGCTTAGAGTTCACCCACCAAGAAAGCCACCCCAGAGAGCAAGGAGTAGTTAGGATATAAAGCCTCCAGGATCCTGGCTGTGTGCCAGGCTGATGCTTTTAGCTGAGCTCTAGAATCGCCTTCTGCTCCTCACCACAGCCCTGTGAGGTACCTCACACATCCTTGTGTCATGGATAAGGAAACTGAGACCCAGAGAAGTTAAGGTTGCCAGGCTGCTTGAGTGACTGAGGGCTTGGAAGGACCCCCTGACGCCCCCCCCCCCCCCGAGATCTCCATCTCATCCAGCTCTTTATGAAAACTTGGGGCACAGGATCCATGTGACTATGTTGTAAAGAGAGTATCAGCTGTGGAACCCCACACCACAAGATTTACGTTGGTGAGTGAGGCCAGGAAGGTGCAGCAAGGGGAGCTCAGGATGTGAGGCCCTGGCCTGCAGAAAGGCTGCTGGGGGGCTGGGCGGCTGGGCGCGAGCCTCCAGGGCGCTCCCAGCTGAGGCCTGGCAGGGCTGACCACCCAGGGACACCGTAGGCATCGGAGCTGAGGTGGGGCTCTTGAGGACACGTTGGCCACCTTGGAAGGGTTCTACGAGCAAGTAGTCCCTTAGCACAGAGGCCGGGGATGGGGGGACAGGGAAGCCTCTTGTCCGGGACCTCAGAGGCAGGCTGGCTGAGGGCCTGGCAGCGCCTCTGCAGGGACCCAGGGTCCTCTCCCAGCTGCCACAGGCCCAGAGACCATGCGAATGTGGCTGGCCCCAGAGCACCTGGAAGCTTGTGGGTAGAACTGGGGCAGAGAGGAAAGCCCAAGATGGCCTCGGTCTCTCTGCTCTCTCCAGTTCTTCTTGCCTGTTGGTGTCCTACCTGTGTCTGGTATTAGCTGTGATTTTCCACCTGCTCTGGGCTGTCTTCTTAAGCAGCCGAACATGAGGAAGTCAGACACACAAAGTGGGCTTCGAAACAAAAAGTGTGTCAGCCCCAGCTGCTCTCCTCCAAGGGTCCTGCGGAACTGAGCCAGCAAAGGGTAATTCTCTTGCCAGACACACTGTCCCTGTGCTCACAGGGCAGGGCCTCGGGCCACCTGGGGAGGCTACTCACCGCCCCGTAGGAGGAGGGACGAGGGTCTGCGGGAGAGCATTCGATGGCCTGGGGGCTTTACTTTCAGGGAGATGCGTTAATTCAGTTATGAGCGCTCAGGCAAGGTGGTGAAGTGGGGAGGAGGTCTGCGCTGATGTTCGGTATATTTGGCGTGGTGGTAGAGCCGTGCTCTTTGTGCATTTATGTTACATATATTCAGTTACACTCCTGGGGGTGGGGGAAGGAGGGAGAGAGGTTGACTGAGATTTAAATGCTGCCATGATATCTGTCCTCCTGTCCTGCCCACGTGATCGTGAGTGACCCACAAATCTGTTTTTCCCTGATGATCTCAGCTCCTGCATGTGCCCCACATGTGTGAGCATCCCTCCACTCTGGGGGTGCTCGAGACCCCTACACACACCTGAGCGTGTCCCTCCAGATTTGCAGGCCAGTTCTCTGTTTCTGTGGGTTGGCAGAACTGACTTTACTGGAGGTAACGGAGAGGGCTTCTGCTGATTCCAGAAGAGCGTCGTCGGTTAATCTGCAGACGGTAGCACATCCGCGAGTAAGGGGATGTCAAGGGTAAATTGAGTTATAGTTGTATGCGCCTTCACGCTGACTTTAGCAACTCAGCATTCAGGACTCCTCTGTACAGTTCAGCCCCATCTGTCCTCAGGCCCCCGGGCAAGCTCATCAGTACTAAGAACCACGCTGTCTCTACTGGGCACGTTCTAGCTCTAGTTGATACAGATGCTTGTCTAGCCTGAGAGGGAAGTACTGACCAGCCAAATTACTTGAAACCTGAGTTTCAATTTCCTCCTCCTTACTTGAAAATGACAATTATTGCCAAGTGGAGTCATCGTGAAACTTAACCGATATAATGCGTGGGAAGCCCGCAGGAATGCCTGGCAGCCAGAAAGTGCCAACACACATGGGCACCACTGACCCACAGGGGGCCGGGCAGGGGCCACCGCCAGGGAGGGGCGAAAGGGCAGCACGCTCCTTCCTGCGACGCACAGTGCACCTGCTGATTGCCAGGCTGGGAGTGAGCTGGGAGAGAGGCGAGGCCGTGTGCAGGTCCCTGAGCCCCAGAGCTGGAGTGGGAGGTGGAGAAGGTTCCTTGCACAGAACACATGTCAGCCCGTAGCCTGGTTCTTGGGACCTCTGCCAGCCTGTCTGGGCTTCGGGGTGCAGCGAAATGCTGCCCCTCGACTGTGGGTGCCCAGCCTGCCAGGCCATAGCAAGGGCTGGATTTCAGCCCTCACAGAACAGCACCTTGTGTGGTACATAAACTGTACAACAGGATACAGCTAGGCTCCCAGCCCTGGGAGTTGGTGCATTTAAAGCCTGGTCATGTCAGCCTTTGAGAACTTGACAAAAACCGTGGCCCCTTTCCCTAGAAAATAGACAAACCCACACAATTTTGCATTGTTCCAGAAGACTAAGACTTGTCCACACCTAATGCTTGGAGCCTGCGTTGGAGAAGCCCTCATCTAGAGGGACATTGCCCGTGTGGCTAATGCCTGCCCTGGGCTGCTGAGAGCAGTGTCCCGTCTGAGTTCTCTAGCTTCATGAGAACCGTGGAGGTCTGTGCTGCTCTCAGGAAAAGGCAGAACTCCTTTGCATGCTATTTCAAAGCTTTTTGTTTTTTTTTTATAAGATTTTATTTATTTATTTGACAGAGAGAGAGAGCAAGAGCAGGAACACAAGCAGGGGGAGTGGGAGAGCGAGAAGCAGGCTTCCTGCTGAGCAGGGAACCCGATGCGGGGCTCGATCCCAGGACCCTGGGATCATGACCTGAGCCGAAGGCAGACGCTTAACCACTGAACCACCCAGGCGCCCCGCATGCTATTTCAAAGCTTAAAAGAAGGTCTGGCCCCTGCCGAATTGGCCAGCCTGCACACCTACTCCCTCCCTTTGTGCACGTGGGCCCTTCCCTCAGCCCTTCCCTGCTCCCCAGGCTCCTTCCCACCCCAGGCCCTTTGCACATGGTCTTCCCTCTACCTGGACTATTTCCCTCCCCTCTTTAGCTTCGCAACTCTTACCCGGTCCAAACGTCCCTTCCTTAGGGAGAACTCTGTTTCGAGGTCAACTCTCGGAGGCCCCCCATGGCACTGGGCACTTTGCCCTCCCGCCGTCGTCACAGTTGGTGATTAATGGCCACCTTCCTGTTCTCCTTGGAGGAAGAAAGTGGGTCTGCTCACTGTTGTATTCGCAGCAGGTCTGGCAACCCGGAGGGCAGGGAATAATAACTAAATACGTGGCCAGTGAGCAGCCGACCTTTGCAGGGGTGGGAGACGCGATGTCGGTTGCCAGAGGCTGTTGGGTCTGTCATCTCGACGTCTTTTGATCCCCGGCTGCCCTCTTCTTGTGTGCCTGACTCTCTCCTCCTGCCTCCCTGGAGGTGTGCTGAAGCTCCTGGAACACGGGGAGGAGTACGTGTTCACGCTGCCCAGTGCCTACGCGCGCTCCATTCTCACCATCCCCTGGGTGGAGCTCGGAGGCAAAGTCAGCATCAGCTGTGCGAAGACCGGCTACTCGGCGACGGTGATATTCCACACGAAGCCTTTTTACGGAGGGAAAGTGCACAGGTAGGAAGGAGGCGGCCGCGGAGGGGCTGTGTGTCTGCCTTCACTTGATGCCCTGACTTTCTTTGCTCCAGAGGGAGCTGGGCTTTCCACCCTGGGAGGAGCTGAAACTCTAAGTTAACAGATCTTGTTTAAAAGAGGCGCCTCTTTCCCACCACCAACCGCCCCCCTTCCCGTGGCAGTTTTTTGAAGTCCTCCCCAGTCTACTCTTCCAGTGAAATCCTTCGGTGATCGAGTCACAGGACCCACAGCAGGGAATCAAAGCTGCTTCCATTTCTCAAGATAACCTCTCCCTTCTGAGGCCACAGCCCATTTCTCTGCTCTGAAGCAATTTCATCTGTGAGCTCAGACGCTGCCTGAGACCTCTTTAAAAAAACAACAACAAAAAATGATTGTATTTATTTGAGAGAGAGAAAATACAAACGGGGGAGGGGCAGAGGGAGAAGCAGGGTCCCCGCTGAGCAGGGAGCCCCACGTGGGGCTTGATCCCAGGACCCCGAGATTACGACCTGAGCCCAAGGCAGACGCTTAACCGACAGAGCCACCCAGGCGCCCCTGAAAGCTCATTTCGTGTTAGGTTGGTTCCATGAAATATCCCGAACCCCGTATCATCTATGAAATCAGGACCACTGTAGAAGCTGGGGAAGCCTGATCCTAGGAAATTGAAGGAAAAGTCTGCTGTTCGAGGGGAGCCTTAAGTTGTTCTTATTGCTGCGGTTACAGATCACCGTATAAGCAGGCTCCCATCTTGGCCCTTTCTCCTGGGAAGTGTTGTTCCGAATGGCGTTCACGCGAGGTGTCCGGGTGCCCCCCGGGAACCGGGGTGCCCTCAGTGGCTGTTTCCCAGGCATGCGCGCTGGCTCGCACGAGCTGACGGTGTGCGTTTGTTTCTCCACGGCTCCACCGTCCCTCAGACCCTGTCAGTAGCTTGAGATCAGCTGTGGAGGGCACCCCCGAAGATGGCAGATGCTACAAATCAGGTGTTTTTCCCCGGGGAGAACCATTTATTAAAGCCCTGCCAGCACCCCACTAGCAGCCTTCCACTGCATGCAGCCAGAAGGTTCCTGATGCTGCCCGTGAGCCTTGGCCTCGGCACCCAGGAGCCATGGCTGTGCTCAGGCTCAGGGACAGAGCTTCCAAGCCTGTGTTTGAAAACCCTGGGTTCAGCCTGAGCTGGGCCATTAGAAAGAGAGGAGCCCAGCTCCTTCCTACGCTTGGCGGCTTCGGAGCGGGCTTTCCTGTTGGCACTGCGCGACTCTGACCGCGGGTCAAGCTTCCAGGTGGAGAGGGAGCTGGGGTCAGCTTTCTCCCGGAGCTGCAGACCTGGAGCCCCCTCGGGCCAGGCCGGAGAAGCAGGGGAGGGCACAGACCTCCACAAAGGCCCTTGTGAAGGTGGTCCCTCGGAGCTGCTGCTGGGAGGAGGATGGCGTTCAGTGCCGAGAGTCGCGGTTTTTGCCCCGCCTTCGCTCAGAGGAATGTGCAGGTGCCAGGGTGAAGGGTTCCCTCCTTTTCCCTGGGATCTCAGGCCGCTTGGGGGCAGTCCTGTTTGGCCCGCCCTTGTGGGTGTACTCTCAGGCCCTGTTGGTGGTTAAAATGTAGCACTCTTCAATGCGATTTTAGGGAGAAGTATATACTTTGTTTCTACTGAAGTGCCTGATTTCCACCCCAATAAAAAACACACCACCTTTGTGTGTTTATCAAAATTAAGCAATTAGCATTGCTGCATTGCGATCAGCTAACCTACAGACCCTCACCAGTTTGTCTACCAACGCTTGCTTTCTCTGATCAAGAATAGTAGGTCACATTTTAAGAGCTAGTCTTTAAGCAAAATGGCAAAACGCAATCCCTCCCCCTTGCAACCCCATGAAAAAGAATCTCTGCATGTGAGTACAGCTTTTCAAGTGTGAGCCTCTGTTTTGAGAATCTCGCAAAGTGTGTTCATTTGACTCATTCATTCATTCAGGGTCACGGCCGAAGTGAAGCACAACCCAACCAACACCATTGTTTGTAAAGCCCACGGGGAATGGAACGGTACCTTAGAGTTCACGTACAACAGTGGAGAGACCAGGGTCATCGACACGACCACACTGCCAGTGTACCCCAAGAAGATCAGACCCCTGGAGAAGCAGGGGCCCATGGAGTCCAGGTGGGGACCCGGCGGGGTGTTTCTTCGGGGCTGGGCTCTCCGCAGCACCTGACCCTAAGGACAGAGAAGAAGCCGCTGTGCGCTCAGCTAACAGAAATGGGCCAGGCATAGTGTTCTTACTTGAATGTCTCACTGCATGTGGCTTTGGGGTAGATCCTTTGTAGCCTTCAGCTCAGTTCTTCTGTAAGTAGGGGTGGGTTGTGAGGATAGTCTGCAGTAGACTTTTGATGCTTGTCCTGAAAGAGTTTGTCCACTCAGCTGGTCTGTTGCTTGATCGCAGAGGTCGGTACGGGGTTGCTGGTCCTCAAAGAACTGCCTAGAAGCCATGAGAGACTGTTTTTCTCACTAGATTAGCGACAGGATTAAAAAAAAAAAAAAACAGGGGGGGCGGAGCAAGATGGCGGAGGAGTAGGAGACCTGGATTTCGTCTCCTCTCAGGAATTCAGCTGGATAGGGATCAAACCATTCTGAACACCTACAAACTCAACAGGAGATCGAAGAAAAGAAGAGCAACAACTGTCTCAGAAGAAAAGCGACCACTTTCTAGAAGGTAGGACGTGCGGAGAAGTGAATCCGAGGCGATATTCGGGAAGATAGACGGCGGGGGAGGGGCCTCCGTCGGCCGCTTCTGGCAAGTGATAGAGCCGCGGAGCACAAAATCGGAACTTTTAAAAGTCAGCTCCGCCGAGGGACGTCACTCTGGTGGCTCAGCGGGGGGTGGAACCCTCCGGGACAGTGTGGTCTCAGGACCCTCAGGGTCACAGAAAGACCGGGGGTGCCTGAGGGCAGCAGAGCTCCCAGGTAACGCAGCAGGGAAGCCGGCTGCAGAGGCGGAGCCCAGGCGCGGGCTCTCAGCTGGGGTTGCCATTAACCGCGATCCGCGGCCCAGTCGGGCCCCTGCTCCTCCAGCAGGGACCCAACAAGCGGCCGATCCGGGGAGACTCACCTTCCTCCCCCGGGAGGAGCCGCGCGGGAGTGCACCGCAGGGATCTGCTGGGTTTGGAGACTCCAGACCGGGTCCGGTGCCAGAGATAGAAACGCGTGGTCACAGGCCGGTTGAGCACGGAGTGCAGCTGCAGACCGGGGAGACGGGAGTGACTGACGACTTTTCTCTGGGGGCTCACTGAGGAGCGGGCCCGAGTTCTCGGCTCCTCCGGGGCGGAGATTGGGAGGCCGCCATTTTCACTCTCCGCCTCCAAAGCTGTACGGAAAGCTCGCAGGGAACAAAAGCCCCGGAGAGCGAACCCGAGCAGATTACTTAGCCGGGAGGGGGCAAGGGCGGGGCTATTCCGCCTCCGGCAGAGACATTTGGAAACCACGGCAACAGGCCCCTCCCCAGAAGATCAGCGAGAACAGCCAGCCAAGACCAAGTTTACCGATCAATGAGAACAGCAGAACTCCAGCGCTAAGGGACTACTGCACATAGAATTCACGGCTTTTTTACCATGATTCCTTAGTCTTTTAATTTTTTTTTAACTGTCTTTTTGTCTTTTTATTTCTTTTTGAATTTTTCTTTTTCCCTTTTTCAAACAACATCTTATCAATCCCTTTTTTTAAAAAAAACATTTTTATTTTTCATTTTTAGAGTCATATTCTATCCCTTCATAGTAGTTACCCATATTTTTGGCTTATATATATAAGTTGTTCTCTCTTTAAAATTTTGAGATACTTTCTTCTAACAGATTAAAATATACCCTAAATCTCTAGTATATGGTGTTCTCTATTCCCCTGCCTGATCACATCCTCTCCCTTTTTTTTTTCTTTTTTCTTTTTTTAAATCCTCTTTCTTTTTTCAAACAACTTCTTATCAATTCCTTTTATAAAATTTTTTATAATTTCCATTTTTACAGTCATTTTCCATCCCTTCATCATATCAACCCTTATTTTTGTACATATATAAGTTTTTCTTTCTTTAAAATTTTGGGAGACACTTTCTTCTAAAAGACCAAAACACACCCCAAATCTAGTGTGTGGCACTGATCTATATACCATATAGATCATATTTGATCACATTCTGGTTTTTCTTTTGTTGTTGTTCTTTTGTTTTGTTTGTTGTTGTTTTTATCTTTATCTTTTTCTTTTTTTTTCTTTTTTTTTTTTTCTCTCTTTCCCCTTCTTATCCCACTGCTTCAGGTCTTTTCTGATTTGTTTAGAGTATATTTTCTGGGGACGTGGTTACTCTGCTAGCATTTTGTTCTCTCATTAATCTATTCTCCTCTGCACAAAATGACGAGACGGAAAAAATCACCTCAACAAAAAGAACAAGAGGCAGTACCGACTGCCAGGGACCTACTCAATACAGACATTAGTACGATGTCAGATCTAGAGTTCAGAATCATCACTTTAAAGATACTAGCTGGGCTTGAAAAAAATATGGAAGTTATTAGAGAAACTCTTTCTGGAGAAGTAAAAGAGCTAAAATCCAACCAAGTAGAAATCAAAAAGGCTATTAATGAGGTGCAATCAAAAATGGGGGCACTAACTGCTAGAATAAATGAGGCAGAAGAGAGAATCAGTAATATAGAAGATGAAATGCTGGAAAATAAAGAAGCTGAGAAAAAGAGAGATAAACAACTACTGGATCATGAGGGCAGAATTCGAGAGATAAGTGATACCATAAGACGAAACAACATTAGAATAATTGGGATCCCAGAAGAAGAAGAAAGAGAGAGGGGGGCAGAAGGTATAATGGAGCAAATTATAGCAGAGAACTTCCCTAATTTGGGGAAAGAAACAGGCATGAAAATCCAGGAAGCACAGAGAACCCCTCTCAAAATCAATAAAAATAGGTCAACTCCCCGACATCTAATAGTAAAACTTACAAGTCTCACAGACAAAGAGAAAATCCTGAAAGCAGCTCGGGAGAAGAGATATGTAACCTACAATGGTAGAAACATTAGATTGGCAACAGACCTATCCACAGAGACCTGGCAGGCCAGAAAGGACTGGCAGGATATATTCAGAGCACTAAATGAGAAAAATATGCAGCCAAGAATACTCTATCCAGCTAGGCTGTCATTGAAAATTGAAGGAGAGATAAAAAGTTTCCAGAACAAAAAAAAACTAAAGGAATTTGCAAACACAAAACCAGCCCTACAGGAAATCTTGAAAGGGGTCCTCTAAGCAAAGAGAGACCCTAAAAGCAACATAGACCAGAAAGGAACACAGACAATATATGGTAACAGTCACCTTACAGGCAATACAATGGCACTAAATTCCTATCTTTCAATAGTTACCTTGAATGTAAATGGGCTAAATGCCCCAATCAAAAGACACAGGCTAACAGACTGGATTAAAAAACAAGATCCATCGATATGCTGTCTGCAAGAGACTCATTTTAGACCCAAAGACACCCCCAGATTGAAAGTGAGGGGGTGGAAAACCATTTACCATGCTAATGGACACCAAAAGAAAGCTGGGGTGGCAATCCTTATATCAGACAAATTAGATTTTAAACCAAAGACTGTAATAAGAGATGAGGAAGGACACTATATCATACTTAAAGGATCTATCCAACAAGAAGATCTAACAATTGTAAATATCTATGCCCCTAACATGGGAGCAGCCAATTATATAAGGCAATTAATAACAAAAGCAAAGAAACACATCAACAACAATACAATAATAGTGGGGGACTTTAACATCCCCCTCACTGAAATGGACAGATCATCTAAGCAAAAGATCAACAAGGAAATAAAGACTTTAAATGACACACTGGACCAAATGGACTTCACAGACATATTCAGAACATTCCACCCCAAAGCAACGGAATACACATTCTTCTCTACTGCCCATGGAACATTCTCCAGAATCGACCACATCCTAGGTCATAAATCAGGTCTCAACCGGTACCAAAAGATTGGGATCATTCCCTGCCTATTTTCAGACCACAATGCTTTGAAACTAGAACTCAATCCCAAGAGGAAAGTCGGAAAGAACTCAAATACATGGAGGCTAAAGAGCATCCTACTGAAGAATGAATGGGTCAACCAGGAAATTAAAGAAGAATTAAAAAAATACATGGAAACTAATGAAAATGAAAACACAACTGTTCAAAATCTTTGGGATGCAGCAAAGGCAGTCCTAAGAGGAAAGTATATAGCAATACAAGCCTTTCTCAAGAAACAAGAAAGGTCTCAAGTACACAACCTAACCCTCCACCTAAAGGAGCTGGAGAAAGAACAGCAAATAAAGCCTAAACCCAGCAGGAGAAGAGAAATCATAAAGATCAGAGCAGAAATCAATGAAATAGAAACTAAAAGAACAGTAGAACAGATCAACGAAACTAGGAGCTGGTTCTTTGAAAGAATTAACAAGATTGATAAACCCCTGGCCAGACTTATCAAAAAGAGAAGAGAAATGACCCAAATCAACAAAATCATGAATGAAAGAGGAGAGATCACAACCAACACCAAAGAAATACAAACAATTATAAGAACATATTATGAGCAACTCTATGCCAGCAAATTAGATAACCTGGAAGAGATGGATGCATTCCTAGAGATGTATCAACTACCAAAACTGAACCAGGATGAAATAGAAAACCTGAACAGACCTATAACCACTAAGGAAATTGAAGCAGTCATCAAAAATCTCCCAAAAAACAAAAGCCCAGGGCCAGATGGCTTCCCAGGGGAATTCTACCAAACATTTCAAGAAGAATTAATACCTATTCTTCTGAAACTGTTCCAAAAAATTGAAACGGAAGGAAAACTTCCAAACTCATTTTATGAGGCCAGCATTACCTTGATCCCCAAACCAGACAAAGACCCCATCAAAAAGGAGAATTACAGACCAATATCCCTGATGAACATGGATGCAAAAATTCTCACCAAAATACTAGCCAATAGGATCCAACAGTACATTAAAAGGATTATTCACCATGACCAAGTGGGATTTATCCCTGGGCTGCAAGGTTGGTTCAACATCCGCAAATCAATCAATGTGATACAGTACATTAACAAAGGAAAGAACAAGAATCATATGATCCTCTCGATAGATGCCGAAAAAGCTTTTGACAAAGTACAGCATCCTTTCTTGATCAAAACTCTTCAGAGTATAGGGATAGAGGGTACATACCTCAATATCATAAAAGCCATCTATGAAAAACCTACAGCAAATATTATTCTCAATGGGGAAAAACTGAGAGCTTTCCCCCTAAGGTCAGGAACGCGGCAGGGATGTCCACTATCACCACTGCTATTCAACATAGTATTGGAAGTCCTAGCCACAGCAATCAGACAACAAAAAGAAATCAAAGGCATCCAAATTGGCAAAGAAGAAGTCAAACTCTCACTCTTTGCAGATGATATGATACTTTATGTGGAAAACCCAAAAGACTCCACCCCAAAACTGCTAGAACTCATACAGGAATTCAGTAAAGTGGCAGGATATAAAATCAATGCACAGAAGTCAGTGGCATTCCTATACACCAACAACAAGACAGAAGAAAGAGAAATTAAGGAGTCGATCCCATTTACAATTGCACCCAAAACCATAAGATACCTAGGAATAAATCTAACCAAAGAGACAAAGGATCTGTACTCAGAAAACTATAAAATACTCATGAAAGAAATTGAGGAAGACACAAAGAAATGGAAAAACGTTCCATGCTCATGGATTGGAAGAACAAATATTGTGAAGATGTCAATGCTACCTAGAGCAATCTACACATTCAATGCAATCCCCATCAAAATACCATCCACTTTTTTCAAAGAAATGGAACAAATAATCCTAAAATTTGTATGGAACCAGAAAAGACCCCGCATAGCCAGAGGAATATTGAAAAAGAAAAGCAAAGCCGGTGGCATCACAATTCCGGACTTCAAGCTCTATTACAAAGCTGTCATCATCAAGACAGCATGGTACTGGCACAAAAACAGACACATCGATCAATGGAACAGAATAGAGAGCCCAGAAATGGACCCTCAACTCTATGGTCAACTAATCTTCGACAAAGCGGGAAAGAATGTCCAATGGAACAAAGACAGTCTCTTCAACAAATGGTGTTGGGAAAATTGGATAGACACATGCAGAAGAATGAAACTGGACCACTTCCTTACACCACACACAAAAATAGACTCCAAATGGTTGAAAGACCTCAATGTGAGACAGGAGTCCATCAAAATCCTAAAGGAGAACACAGGCAACAACCTCTTTGACCTCAGCCGAAGCAACTTCTTCCTAGAAACATCGCCAAAGGCAAGGGAAGCAAGGGCAAAAATGAACTATTGGGACTTCATCAAGATAAGAAGCTTTTGCAAAGCAAAGGAAACAGTTAACAAAACCAAAAGACAACCGACAGAATGGGAGAAGATATTTGCAAATGACATATCAGATAAAGGGCTAGTATCCAAAATCTATAAAGAACTCATCAAACTCAACACCCAAAGAACAAAGAATCCAATTAAGAAATGGGCAGAAGACATGAACAGACATTTTTCCAAAGAAGACATCCAAATGGCCAACAGACACATGAAAAAGTGCTCAATATCGCTCGGCATCAGGGAAATCCAAATCAAAACCTCAATGAGATATCACCTCACACCAGTCAGAATGGCTAAAATTAACAAGTCAGGAAACGACAGATGTTGGCGGGGATGCGGAGAAAGGGGAACCCTCCTACACTGTTGGTGGGAATGCAAGCTGGTGCAGCCACTCTGGAAAACTGTATGGAGGTTCCTCAAAAAGTTGAAAATAGAGCTACCATATGATCCAGCAACTGCACTACTGGGTATTTACCCCAAAGATACAAAAGTAGGGATCCGAAGGGCTACGTGCACCCCGATGTTTATAGCAGCAATGTCCACAATAGCCAAACTGTGGAAAGAGCCAAGATGTCCATCGACAGATGAATGGATAAAGAAGATGTGGTATATATATACAATGGAATATTATGCAGCCATCAAAAGGAATGAGATCTTGCCATTTGCAACGACGTGGATGGAACTGGAGGGTATTATGTTGAGTGAAATAAGTCAAACAGAGAAAGACATGTATCATATGATCTCACTGATATGAGGAATTCTTAATCGCAGGAAACAAACTGAGTGTTGTTGGAGTGGGGGGTGGGGTGGGAGGGATGGGGGGACTGGGTGATAGACACTGGGGAGTGTATGTGCTCTGGTAAGCGCTGTGAATTGTGCAAGACTGTTGAATCTCAGATCTGTACCTCTGAAACAAATAATGCAATATATGTTAAGAAAAAAAAAAAAGAAGAAGAAGAAGAAGGTAGCGGGAGGGGAAGAATGAAGCGGGGGAAATCGGAGGGGTAGACGAACCATGAGAGACGATGGACTCTGAAAAACAAACAGGGTTCTAGAGGGGAGGGGGGTGGGAGGATGGGTTAGCCTGGTGGTGGGTATTTAGGAGGGCACGTTCTGCATGGAGCACTGGGTGTTGTGCACAAACAATGAATCATGGAACACTTCATCTAAAACTAATGTTGTAATGTAAGGGGATTAACATAAGAATAAAAAAATTAAAAAAAAAAAAAAAGAAAAAAAAAAAAAAAAGAAAAAAAAAAAAAAAAAAAAAAAAAAAAACAACACAGCAGTGGCAAGAATGGGATCAAACTGACACTCTGTACCCTCCACTTAGAGTGACAGTGTGCGCAGGGTAGCTGCAGGGGTCCCTGGCTTCAGATTCATGAATTCACTTTAATTTTGTAGTCCAAAATTAAATTTGTAGGGATCTCTTCTGAGGGAGAATTCTTAAATTCAGAAACGGTTTTAAGTATAAAACTGGGTATTTTTTTTCAAAAAAGAAAACTAATAGAAGAAGAAGAAACCACCTACCTGTCCAACAAGAGGAAAATGGTTAAAGTAAATTATGGAGTATCGTCCCAGTTAATAGGTCTACTCCATGCTGTGAATGTACTGCAGCCACTTAAAGGGATGTTTATGCAGGTACAGAAGCAGAATCTTCTTAGAATATGCCTTTTGAAAGTTTTTAGTCCAGGAGGTTAGCAGACTACAGCCCATGGCTGATTTTTATAACATGTTGGGGAACCACAGCCATGATCCTTAATTTACGTATTGTTTGTGGCTGCCCCTTTGCACAGCATTTAAGCAGTTGCGACCAAGACCATATGGCCTGCAAAGCCTACCATGTTTGCTCTCTGGCCCTTTAAAGAAAATGTTTGCTGACCTCTTTTAGAGGGCTCTGCCCTCTAAATTTGGGACCACTAGCTTACGATGAGACTCATCATGGGAGCTCCTGCCCTTGAGAGCACCCCCACCTTGGATGTCCTTGTGCCCAGCTTCTCCCTCAGCTCTAGATGTGTGTGGAGGGTGTGGGTGATGAAACGGCCATGATTTGACCCAGCACCCTTCCCTCACTCTTTCCTCCCCTCCCCTCACTGTTTTGGCCAGTTGGACCTAGCTTTACAGTCAATTCTAGAAGTTTCTCCTGATGTAAAATGGAAGCCAGAGCATTGTTCTCCCTGGGGCTGTGTATGGTGGGACTCAGGGCAGGTCCAGTGGGCAGGCTGAGCTTACAGCAGGAGCTCGCCCCTTGTCAGCTGCCTGATTCTGATCCCCTTCAGAAGGGGTTGCTCATTGTCCCCACTTTGCTGGCAGCCTTGTCCGCCTTTTCTCGGCATCATCATGCCAACACTCTGTGCTTCCCGCTGTCCTGGCCCTCTTGTGGACAAGGCCAAGGGTACTGTGGGAGTGCTCCCTGGCCATGGATCTAATTATGGAATGTTTGCTTACTCCTGGCTGCCGAGGCGTCTTTTCCCCAAAGTCAGGGAGGGAGTCCTGGCAGCTGAGAGTACTGATAGTTCCTTTTATGCAAAATCCCAAACTGCCCGGATGCATTTACATGAGGAAGTGCACGGGTGATGGTATCCTGCTTTACCTCAGTCCCCTTCCTCCGCCTCTAGAGCAGAGTATGAATCAGGGATGGTCCTGGGACGTTCCGAGGGGGGCAAAGCTATCCATTAGACAGGAGCCATTCTAGGCTGCCTTCTGCAGTGAATGAATGAAGAGGCAGAGAAGTGGTTTTCCATGTAGACAGGGGCGCGTGATGGATCGTGCCACATAAACACACACGGCCACTCCCCCCAGCCTACCACTCCTAATACCGGGTTCCCCTGTGGGTCAGCAGCCATTGTTCATATTTATCAGCTTGCTGACCTTGGGCCCGTCACTTTACGTGCATCTTATTTTTCTCTTTAAAATGGGGATGGTAACGTAGCACCCATGCCACCGGGTTGTTGTGATGGTGAAATGAGCTAAGATACACGACAGTGTTAGAAACACGATATGCAGTGTGTCTGCTGTGACAGTTGTGACAGAAGGGTATTCATACTGCTGACCACTGCTGTTATGCCCAGATTCCACTGCTAGACACTCAGAGCCCTGAGAGATGCATGCTGCTGAGGACAAGAGGGGCGTGGAAACTTGGGCACCTGTTAGCCCTGGGTTCTCATCTTGGCTCTAGGGGTCTTTGAGGCACCTGGGATGCGCTCCCCCTGCCCAAATGCCCTCCCCACCCCAGTTCTTGCCGAGAACCGCCCTTGTCAAGCCAGTTGCCCCTGTCCGACCACTTCCTCTCCTCCGTGCATCCCCAGGAACCTCTGGCAGGAGGTGACCAGATACCTGCGGCTGGGGAACATTGATGCTGCCACCGAGCAGAAGCGACGCCTGGAGGAGAAGCAGCGGGTGGAGGAACGGAAGCGGGAGAACCTCCACACACCGTGGCAACCCAAGTATTTCATCCAGGAGGTAACTCTGCCGCCTGCCTTTGGGGACTTGTCCCAAGCGAGGGGCGCATGGGTTTGTCTTGCCAATGCAGCCGTTTGGATGGATGAGGATGGGGGACGGGAGGTCCTGGGAAGGTTTGGGGTGGCTTTGCTCAGCCCCAGCTTTGGGCCAGGCCATCCTAGGGGCACAACAGAGCGCCTGACGCTTCCCCTCTGACATCTAATGTCAGAGTAGCCCATCAGCCTGGCGGGGAGTGCAAGGAATGAATGGGGTGGAGATCTGGATGCTGTCCTGTTTAAAAAAAACAAAACCAAAACCACACCCCCTGCTACTTTATTGTCAGTAACAAATTAGCTGTGAAGCACCTCGAATGGACCAAAGGGGATGGACATGCCAGGAAAGGCCAGCATGAGTCCTGGGTCCTTAGTACCTCTGCTGTCACCCGGGAAAGCGACACTGGAAGAGTAATAGCCACCAGGCTGCCCACCCCCTGGGCAATCGGGCAAGGTACCCTGGGCCCCGTTGAGGTTCTTAGCTTTTCAGGTTGTTTGTGGAGCAGTTGGGAAGCTTTCTGAGAACAGGATTAGAAATAACGAAAGTGTGGCAGCCACAGTTTTGAATGCAGGCCCTCAGGAGCCTGGCAGCATCAATGAGAGAAGGACCCGTGAGGACTGGGGCGGACACAGGAGTCCATAAAGGGAGTGGAGGCCACTTAGCCCCCAGGCGATCACAGACCGTCCCGTTCTTCACAAGAAGTGAGAAATCACATATTCACATGGGAGCAAGGAATTTTAGCAAGGTGCAACCCTGAGAGCCCATCGAAGTACGTCGAGGCTTTTTGGCCCAGGTGCAACTTGCGTCTGACTTGAGCTACAAGGAAGGGTTACTCTGTGTAGCAGGCAGGCGGCAGGGTGAGTTAGGAGCTTTGAGGTGGACTTCTGGTCAGGGACAGAAGCAGCTGCTGTTCTCCCCACAGGCAGGAACTCCGACACTTCAAGGTTGGATTCTGGTTCAGGCAGGAAGCCTGCTTGAGCAGACTGCCTTATGAGGCTCTGAGCGAGAACCACGTTGGGAAGCCTTGCCTAGGTGAGGCGAATCTGTATTAGCCAGGGTTCTCCAGAGAAACAACAGAAGCAGAAGCATGAGATGTAAATACGTAGAGATTTGTTATGAGGAATTGGCTCCTGAGATTACGGAGGCTGAAAAGCCTCAGGATCTGCCGTTTGCAAGCTGAACCCTAGGAAAGCCAGTGGTAGAATTCAGTTGCGTCCAAAGGCAGGAGATGAGCTGTCCCAACTCAAGCAGTGAGGCAGAAGAAAAAAAAAAAAAAAGGAGCTGAATTCCTCCTTCCTTTACCTTTTTTTGTTTTCAGGCCTGCTCAGCGGATCGGATCATGCTCAGCCACGCTAGGCAGGGAAATCAGCTTGACTGAGTGCTTATTATCTCATCTGAAAACACCCTCACGACACATTCAGAGATAATGTTGAATCTGGGTACCATGGCCAATCAAGTTTAATACACAAAATTAACCATCACAAAATCAGTCAAGGATCCTTTTGTGAGATGGATCTGGTCTCTCTGAGACAACTAGTTTGCCTGGCTTCTGGGAAAAGTTGGACATAGAAAAACCCAAAAGATGACAAAACAAAACAAAACCAAACAAAAAAACCCCCAGAAACCCATACAGTTCTTCTGGGGTTTAATAAAAAGCCAGTATGTTCGTAATAGAAAGCTTGAGGGTATGTAAAGAACAAAAATCATCCCAATACCAGAATCGTTACCATTCAGTACATCCCCCTCTAGGTAAACCCCAGATTGTGTATGCCATTTTGATTCTTGCCCTCTCTCTGATACTTGGTATCATTTCTTGTGTGTGCGGATTGGGTTAGGCACTCCCCTCCAGGCTGGTGGGCTGTAAATCACTGGTTTGGGCAAATTCCTCAGAGGCAGGCCTTGCCTTCTCTCTTCTGTCTGCTTTTTTCTCTCTTGCTCCACTGTTTCGAAGGGCTTTTCTGGCCAATTAATCTTACGTGATATAAACCAACAAAGCCCCCCTTCTTACGTTATTTTGGTTATTTTGTGGGGTTTCCTCCTGAAATGCCAAGATGTGAAGATTTATGGTATCTACAAAGCAGCCAGGCCGAGGAGGGGTCGTGAGACCACCAGCATGGCGTCGCTGTGAGCTGCGTTAATGGCAGTTCTGAGCGGCTGCTGAGGGAGCACTGCTTTGCCTGCTCCTCGGCTTTTAACAGAGCAGAGTCTGGGGAAATATCTTTGCTTCTCCCCTTGCCCAGCTGAGAGGTCTTCATAAAATGTCTCCTTCCTTCTCTTCCAGGGTGACGGCTGGGTATACTTCAAGCCTCTTTGGAAGGCGCACTGATGGGGTGGAGGTGTAGAGCTTTCAGAAGTAGCCCTGTGTTAGTAGGAATTAAAGTGTCAAGGTTCTGCTGGTATTCACTAAGACCTCTTGATGTCATTCAAGAAATGGTACCTGGGAGAGAAATGATATACTGTGAAAAATGCACCACCAAACTACTCCGGGATTGAGTTTATTCAAGAGCCATTTGGGGCATGTGTGTGTACACAGGTCTGTGTGTGAGCTCTCAGTACGGTATGTTCACGCACATGCACTATATACACATGTCTACTAGGTATTATTACACATGTAAATATTGCACTTACCGAGATTTAAGTGGGTAACTATGAGCTCCTTTTTATCAATGAGGTTTGAGGTTTTCTATTTTTCACTTTGCCAAAAATGTTTTGCACTCACAAAAGTGTTCCCGTGTAGGCAGCTCCTGTCGAAACAGAGGTGAATTGGCTTGGCCCAGGTGAGGTCCCTATGGTGGAAAGTGGCTCATTCCTGGGAGAAGTGTAGGTGGTGGTCACTTCACAATTAGTGTTGTGATTCTCACCTCTGTCCCCACTTGAGCATTTTGTTTGTCCTTAAGAAAGAGAAGCTATTTCCTGCTGAATGGTGAGTGGGCAAGAAGCTGTTAAAGGTTTATGCCCAGAGCCTTCCAAGATGGAGCATCTTTGGGAGAAGCAGGCCCATCTTGGAATTTGCCTCCCGTGTCCTTGCCCCAGAATCTTTCTGACAATTTCTCCTGCGCAAAGCGTTAGACATTTTTCAGAAGCTGCTGCTTTTACAGTAGAAAACAAGTCAGATGAAGACTTCACTACTTTTGTGATGAAAAAGGGCTTTAGAAGTTAAATACACGCATGCATATACAAAACTGCACAACCATAGCCTCAATTTTTGTATTTCGTTTGGGGAAAGAGAAAAGAACTTCCTGTGGGTTTTTTTTTTTAAGTGCACCTCTCTTGTTTGACCCAAACTCGGCAAGAAAACCACTGTGATTAAATGACACATACATAAAGCCTGCAAAAGCATTCCATGGTTTCAGCTGAATTTCAGTCCTCAGCCTTTACAAATGAGGTCAAGACATGACTAGAATATAAAGCAAGGAAAAAATGAAGTATTTGATTTTTTGCTCAATGCTTAATTTATTTTTTACTGTGCCACTCAGAATATTTATAAAAATCCAGTAGCATGAATGCTTCTCTGTAGTAATACTGATTTTGTGCCTTTTGTCTGCTTTCTTAAGACCAATTGTTCACTTTGTAGATATTAGACAATATATTTCGATTAAGTACTATACCTATCTGTGTGTCTGTATTTTATTTTTAGGGATCCAAAATTTCAGTTGGAACTGGCCGTTCTGAACGAGCTCAGATTTTATTGGTTAGATATTGCTAATTTGATGTGAACAGCAATCATATTTAGATCAAAACGGTGTTTTAAACACAGTAAAAAAAAATCTACCAGATAAACATTATTTATGGAAATGTTCTGACAAGTTGATATGAACATTTAACTCCTATCTAGTGAATTTTATGGTTTGTGAGAAGTTACTACTGGCCAAAGTCCTAATGTAGTAGGCCTGTTCAGGTTCATAGTCTTAAGACATCTGGGAGAATAAAGTGTGTGGAACCATTTTATTTCTGAGGAGGAAAACAGAATAGATGCTATTTTGAGGAAGAAGATCTTCAAGAGAAGACTGCAAAATAATCACTGTGGTGTGTTTAGATTTTTCCAGTCTTATGTTATGCCAAAGTAGGAACCATCTGGGAAATTAAACATGGACAAGGTTCGCTTTCTTTCCTGTTTTGGGCGGGAGAGGGTTCAATTTGCCTTTTTAAAAAATTGTGAAATATATACAGAAGGTTTATATGAAATATATTACAGTTCCAAGAATAAGCACCCATGTACCCAGTGCCTAAGGAAAGACCCCCAAGTTTGCTAGTACCTGAAACGCCACATCTGTGTCCTTACAAAACTGTATCCCCCTCCTTGACCACAGCGATAACACTACCACTGTCCTGATCTCTGGAGTAATTGTTTTCTTTTGAAACCTCCACACATGCTCTGTGGATTTATAAAGAGCAGGCTTGGCTTTGCCTGTCAGAGCTAACATTTTGTTTATAGGTCAATCTATGTTATGAGTCACTCTATTTGTTCGCTTTTCTGTTCCTTTTTGCCGAATTCACATTTTGTTTTATACTTTCATTGTGGCAAACTGTATGTAACGTAAAATTTACCATTTTAGCAATTTTTAAGTATACAGTTCATTGGCATTAAATATGTTCCCAGTATTGTGTGACCAGCACAACCATCTGTGCCCATAGTTTCCATCTTCCCGAATTGCAGCTCCCTGCACATTAAACAATGACTCTGCGTTCCTATCCCCCCATCTCTGCAGCCCTTAACAACGACCATTGTACTTTGTTTTTATTGACTACTGTAAGTACTTCATATAAGTGGAATCATTCTACACGTATCCTTTTGTGTCTGGCTTATTTTACTTGACATAATGTGTTCAAAGCTCATCAGAATTTCCCTTCTTTTTAGGACTGAATAATATTCCATTGTATGTATATATACCATATTTTGTTCATCTCTTTACCTATCCATGAACATTTGGGTCGTTTACATCTTTTGGCTATTGTGAATAATGCTGCTGTGAACATGGGAGTGCAAATATCTGAGTAATATCTGCTTTCAATTCTTTTGGGGATATACGTATCCAGAAGTAGAAGTACTGTATCATATGAAAATTCCTTGTTTAACTTTCCAGTACCTGCCATACTGCTTTCCACAGTGCCTCCATCATTTTGCAGTCCTACCAGCAATGCATAAGGGTTTGAATTTTTCCACAGCCTCCCCAACACTTGTTTTTTTGTTTTATAATAATCATCATAAAGGGTGTGAAGTGCCATTTCATTGGGGTTTTGCTTTGCATTTCTCTAATGATTAGTGATGTGGAGCATCTTTTCATGTGCTTATTGGCCATTTCTGTATCTTCTTTGGAGAAATGTCTTTTTAAGTCCTTTGCCCATTTTCTAATTAGGTTTTGTGTGTTGAGTTGTAGTTCTTTATAAATTCTGGATATTCTTTATCAGATTATATTTTCTGATTTATAATTTTATCAGATATATAATGCTTCTTCCATTCTGTAGGTTGCCTTTTTACCCTGTTGATAGGGTTCATGATGTACAAAAGTATTTAGTTTTGGCGGAGTCCAATTTATCTACTTTTTCTTTTGTAGCTTGTACTTTGAATTGTCCTACCCAAGAAATCATGGACAAATCTAACTTCATGGAGCTTTTCTTTTCTTCTTTCTTTTTCTTTCTTTCTTTTCCTTCCTTCCTTCCTTCCTTCCTCTCTTTCTTTCATCTTTTTTTTTTTTTTTTAAGATTTTATTTATTTATTTGAGAGGGGAGAGGCAGAGGGAGAGGGAGAAGCAGACTCTCCCCGCTGAGCAGGGAGTCCGACACGGGGCTCAATCCCAGGACCCTGGGATCATGACCCGAGCCGAAGGCAGATGCTTAACCAACTGAACCACCCAGGTGCACCCCCATGTAGCTTTCCCACTATGTTTTCTTCTAACAGTTTTATATTTTAAGCTCTTATGTTTAGGGTTTTGATCCATTTTAAGTTAATTTTTGTATATGGTGTTAAGGGTCCAACCTCATATCCTGTATTCCTAGGACCATTTGTTGAAAAGACTCTCCTTTCTCCATTGAATGGTATTGGTACCCTTAACAAAAATCATTTGACCAAGATGCAAGGGCTTATTCCTGGGCCCTTCATTCTATTACATTGGTCTAGATATCTGTTTTTATGCCAGTACCACAGTTTTGATTACTATAGCTTTTTGAAATTTTTGAAAATAGGAAGTGAGAGACTTTCAACTTTTTTCTTTTTCAAGATTGTTTTGGCTACTAGGGGTCCCTTGAGATTCTATATGAATTTTAGGATGGAATTTTCTAGATTTGTTAAAAACATCACTGGAATTTGATAGGTTAGGCGTTGCACTGACTCTGTAGATTACCTTGCACAATATTGACATCTTAACGATATTGTCTTCTAATCCATAAACACAGGCAATCTTTCCATTTACTTATTTCATCTTCCATTTCTTCAGAAATATTTTGTGGTTTTCAGTTTTCATTTTATTGCATTTTGCTTTATTGTGCTTTGCAGATACTGCTTTTTATAGTTGAAGGTTTGTGGCAGACTTCCTTAAGGTAGGGCTATCAGCACCATTTTACCAATAGCATTTGCTCAGTTTATGTCTCTGTGTCACATTTTGTAATTTTTGCAATATTTTAATATTTTTCATTATTTTACTTGTTATGGTGATCTGTGATCACTGATATTTGATCTTACTATTGTAACTGTTTGGGGGTGCCATGAACTGCACCCAGTGAGGTGGCAGGCTGATTGGATAAATGTTAAAAGTTGTGTATGTTCTGACTGCTACACCAACCATCTGACCTCCCCACCTCTCTTCCTCTGCTTGGACCTCCTTATTCTGAGACAGACAATATTGGAATTAATTACCTCCCAATGGCCTCTAAGTGTTCAAGGAGAAGAGAGTCACACATCTCTTATTTTAAATTAGAAGCTAGAAATGATTACCCTTGGCGAGGAAGGCATGTTGAAAACTGAGAGGGGCCAAAAGCTAGGCCTCTTGGACCAGTTAGCCAAGTTGTGAATGCAAAGGAAAGGTTCTTGAAGGAAATTAAAAGTGCTACTCCAATGAACGCAAATGATAAGAAAGCAAAACAGCCTTATTGCTGATATGGAGAAAGTTTTAGTGGTCTGGACAGGAGGTCAAATCAGCTACAACACTGTCCCTTTAGCCAAAGCCTAATCCAGAGCAAGACCCTAACTCTCCTTCTAGGAAGGCTGAGAGAGGTGAGGAAGCTGCAGAAGAAAAGTTTGAAGCTAGCAGAGAGTGGTTCATGAGGTTTAAGGAAAGAGATCGAAGCCATAACATAAAAGTGCAAGGGGAAGCATCAAATACTGATGTAGAAGCTGCAGCAAATTATCCAGAAGACCCGAGCTAAATAATGAAGGTGGATACACTAAACAACAGATTTGCAGTGTAGATGAAACAGACTTCTATTGGAAGAAGATGCCACCTAGGACTAGTGGGGAGAAGTCAATGCCTGGCCTCCAAAAGGACAGGCTGAGACTCTTGTTAGGAGCTAATGTAGCTGGTGACTTAAGTTGAAGCCAATGCTCATTTACTATATTCTAAAAATCCTAGGGCCCTTAAGATCTACTCTGCTTATCCTCTAGAAATGGAACAACAAAGCCTAGATGACAGCACATCAGTACAACATGGTTTACTGCATATTTTAAGCCCACTGTTGAGAACTACTGCTCAGAAAAAAAAGATTCCTTTCAAAATATTACTGCTTATTGACAATACACCTGTTACCCAAGAACTCTGATGGAAATATACAAGACGTTTTTATGCCTGCTAATACAACACTCATTCCGCAGCCCATGGATCAAGGAGTAATTTTAATTTTGAAGTCTTATTATTTAAGAAATACATTTTGTAAGGCTATAACTGCTATAGATAGTGATTCCTTTGATGGATCTGGGCATAGTATATTGAAAACCTTGAAAGGATTCACCATCCTAGACACCATTAGGAACATTCATGATTCATAGGAAGAGGTCAAAATATCAACACTTAACGGGAGTTTGAAAGTTGATTCCAATCCTCATGGGATGACTTTGAGGGGTTCAAGACTTCAAGTAGAAGTAACTGCAGATGTGGTGGAAATAGCAAGAGAACTAGAAATAGAAGTGGAGCCTGAATTTGTGATTGGATTGCTGTAATTTCATGAAAAAATTTTAATGGATGAGAAGTTGCTACTTACAGATCAGCAAGCAATCTTATGGATGGTTTCATGAGGTTGAACCTATACCTGGCACAGATGCTGTGAAAATTGTTGAAATGACAATAAAGGATTTAGAATATCATAAACTTAGATGATAAAGCAGTGGCAAGGTTTGAGAGGATTGATTACAATGTTCTACTGGTGGGTAAAATGGTATCAAATAGCATTAGATACAACAAAGAAATTGTTCATGAGAGAACCGATGCAGCAAACTTGTCTTATTTTAAGAAATTGGCCACAGCCACTCCAATCTTCAGCAACTGCCAACCTGATCAGTCAGCAGCCGTCAACATCAGCAACAAGGCACGATCTTCACCAGCAAAAAAAGTAGGACTTGCTGAAAGCTCAGATGGTTGGCATTTCCTTAGCAAAAAGTATTTTTTAGTTTAGGTATGTACCTTGCTTTTTAGACACTATGCGGTTGCACACTTAATAGTGTAGTGTAACTTTTATATGCACTGAAAAACCAGGAAGGTCATTTGATTTGCTTTAGTGAGATAATTTGCTTTGTTGTGGAGGTCTGTAACTGAAACTGCAGTATGTCTGAGGTATGCCTATACGAGACTTTTGCCTCCTTAGTTTATTGCTAAGTATTTTACTCTTATGCAATTGCAAATGGAATTGTTTTCTTAATTTCTTTTATGGATTGTTCATTGTTAGAATACAGGAACAATTGATTTTAATGTGTTGACTTTGTGTCCTGCAATTTTGCTATATTTATTCCAACAATTTTGTATGGAATCTTTTTTTTTTAAAGATTATTTATTTATTTATTTATTTATTTATTTATTTATTTATTTGAGAGCAAGAGAGAGAGAAACAGCATGAGAGGGGAGAGGGTCAGAGGGAGAAGCAGACTCCCTGCTGAGCTGGGAGCCCGATGTGGGACTCGATTCCAGGACTCTGGGATCATGACCTGAGCTGAAGGCAGTCGCTTAACCAGCTGAGCCACCCAGGCGCCCTGTATGGAATCTTTAGAGTCTTCCAGATATAAAATCATATCTTTTGTGAACAGTTTTACTACTACTTTTCCAACCTGGATGACTTTTATTTCCTTTTCTTGTCTAATAGCTCTGGATAGAACTTCCAATACATGAAAGGAAGTGGCAAAGCTGGTATCTTGATTCTTAAGAGGAAAAACTTTTAATCTTTCATCATTTGCTGTGTTTTTCATATATAGCCTTTATTATGTTGAGATAGCTTCCTTCTATTCCTAGTTGAGTATTTTTATCATGAAAGATTTGTTGAATTTTGTCAGATGGTTTTCCTGCATCATATTGAGATGTGTTTTTCCCTTTGTTCTGGTGAAGTGTGGTGTATAACTTTGATTTCATATTTTGAACCATCCTTGCATTCAGAGAATCCCACTTTGTCATGATATGTAATACTTCTAATATGTTGTTGAATTTACTATTACTTAGGATTTTTTGCATCAGTATTCATAAGGGATACTGATCTATAATCTTATTGTAGTATCCTTTTCTGGCTTTAGGTATCAGGATACTGCCTTCATAGAATGAGTTAGGAAGTGTTCCCTTTTCAGTTTTTTGGAAGAGTTTGAGGATTGGTGGTTAATTCTTCTTTAAATATTTAGTAGAATTCACCAGTGAAGTCATATGGTCCTGGGCTTTTCTCAGGAGGTTTTAAATTGCAATCTAATCTCTTTCTGGATACAGGTCTTCATATTTTGATTCTTGATGATTCAGTCTTGGATAGGTAATGTTTCTAGGAATTTGTTCCATTTGTTGATGTATAATTCATCTAGATCATCCCAATTTATTGATGTACAGTTGTTCATGGTATTTATTCTTAAAAGCCTTTCACTTATACAAAATTGGTTGTAATGGCCCCACTTGCATTTGATTTTTTTCTTAGTCTAGTTAATGCTTTGTCAATTTTGTTGATCTTTTTGAAGAAACGGTTTTTAATTTCATTTTTGTACTTTTGTTCTCTATTTTAGTTATTTCTGCTCTAGTCTTTTAATATTTCCTTCCTTCTGCTAGCTGTGGGTTTAGTTATTTTTTTTAGTTCCTTAAGGTTCAAAATTAGATTGTTGGTATTAGATCTTTAAATGTGTTTACAGCTATATATTTCTTTTTAGCACTGCTTTCACAGCATCCCATTTTGGTGCTTTTATTTTTATGTCTTGAGATATGTTCTAATTTCTCTTGTGATTTCTTTTTTGACCCACTGGTTAAGAGTGTGTTGTTTAATTTCCACATGTTTGTGGGTTACCCAGTTTTCCTTCTGCTGCTGATTTCTAGTTTCATTGAATAGTGACTGGAAAAGATACTTTGTATGGTTTGTCTTAAAATTTATTGACTTGTTTTGTGAACTAGCACATGGGTCTGTCCTGGAGAATGTCCCATGCACACTTAAGAAAAATGAATATTCTGCTCTTACTGGGTGGAGCCATCTGTATAAGCATGTTAGGTCCAGCTGGCCTTACAGAGTTGTTCAAGTCTTCTATTTCCTTATTGATCCTGCATAGTTGTTTTATTATGGATTGTGGGGGATTGAAGTCTCCTATTATTGTAGGGCAATTTCTCCCTCAATTCTGTAAATGTTTGCTTCCTATATTTTGGAGCTCTGATATTTGGTGCTTCTATGTTTATGTTATAGTAGCAAGTTAATTTTTATCAATATGTAATGACCTTGTGTCTTATAAATGTTTGACTTCGTTATCTGATATTAGTATAGCCAATCCTGATTGCATGAAATATTTTTCCTGTCCTTTCACTTTGAATGCATGTTTCCATAGATCTTAAGTGAGTCTCTTGTAGACAGCATAATCTCTTCTGCCAGTGTTGGCCTTTGATTGGTGAATGTCATCTAAATTAATTACAGATAAGGACTTAGCCATTTTATGTTTTCCAACTTCATTTGTCTCTCATTTCCTCAATTATCTTCCTTTGTATTTAATTTTTTGTAGTGCTACATTTTTATTCTCATTTTCTTTTATCTGTGTTCTCTAGTCCTCTTTGTGGTTCCTGAGAGATTACACAGAACGTCCTAAAGTAATAGTCATCCATTTTAAATTAATACCTTCAGTCACATAAACTCTACTCCTTTACAGTTCTACCCTTGTTACTGATGTCACAGATTACATCTTTGTATGTGTATCCATGGACTTACAATTATTTTTATGCACTTTTAAGTCCTGTAGAATTACAGGACTGGAATTATGACCCAAAACTATAATACTGGTTTTCGTATTTGCCCATGTATTTACCTGTATTGTTTTGTATGCCTTTGAGTTATTATCTAAAGCCTTCTATTTCTACTTAAAAGACTTAATTCCTTATAGGCAAGGGTAGTGGTTATGGACTCCATCAGCTTTTGTTATGTGGAAATTTCTTAACTACTTCTTAACTTCTAGATTTCTTGGTTTATAGTTATTTTCGTTCAGCACTACTGCTTCCTGACCTAAGTTTCTGCTGAGAAATCCACTGATAATCCAATCGCTTTTATGTTATAAATCACTTTTTCTCTTGCTGCTTCCAAGATGCTCTTTGCTTTTGGCTTTTGACAGTTTGATTATAATGTCTCAGTGTGGTCTGTGGGTTCTTTTGGGTTTAACATACTTGGGAGTTCACTGAGCTTCTTGAATTTGTAGATTCCTACCTTTCCTCAAATTTGGGGAATTTTCTGCCACAATTTCTTCAAATCTTGTTGCAGTTTTCTCTCTTTTTCTTCTGGGACTCCCATAATGTATTTTCATCCATTTAATGGTGGCCTGTAGGCAGTTTTCAGATCTCTAAAATTTTTTGTTCTCCTGAGACCAAATAACTTAAGTTGACTGGTTTTCTTGATTTTTCTGTTCCAGTGTTGTTAAACCCCCAGTCAACTTTTCATTTTTCAGCCACAGAATTTGATTTTCTAAAAAGATAATTCCTATTTTAGTTGATATTCTTTGTTCATGTTTTCAGTTTAGTTTGTTGACTGTTTTTACTTTTAGCATATTTAAGACTGCTGGTTTAAAGTCTTTAGTGTGTCTGATGCCTGTTAATGGATGAGTCCTGTCACATTATGTTCTTCCTTTGAATAGGCCACGTTTTTGTTTCTTCACATGCCTTGTGATCTTTTGCTGAAAATTAGGCATCTGAAAAAATAAATCTCTTCCAGTCTTTTCAAACTGGCTCTGTGCCAGAAAGACCTTCATTAACTTGCAGTGTCTGAGCCTTGGGATCAGCCCAGGGGGAGATTTAAGGTCATCTCAGGTCTTTTCTGGCCATGTCTTCCTTAGGGCTGTGTGCTGTTTTTTTATTCCCCTTTTATACATGGCCTTAGCTGTTCTCGTTCCTGGACCCATAATTTCTTGCCTGGTCATCTCCAGGTCTGTAGTATCCCTGCAGCTTTCCCCAGCCTATAACACTTTTCCCTGAGCCAAGTTAGGTGAAAACCAGACGAGTTTTTCAGGCAGCCTTAGATACATTACAGTGTTGAAAATAAGGTCTGTCCTGTTCCCTGCTATTTGAGAAAGATCACTGGGAGCTTGGGAGGCTCCTCTCTCCTGACCATGCCACAAGGGTGGGGGAGGGGGGGCGGCGTAGAGAAAGGTTGAATAAAAACATGACATTTTTTAATGTGACTTTGTCTTGATTGGACATTTACTCAGTGCTATCGACCACTGCTGGTTTTCTGGGAAAGTTGGTTTGGTTTTAACACTTTCATGAAACAAATGAGCGCCTGGAGCTTCCTAGTCTGCAACTTTGCTCTCATTTTGTGTGCAGTATAATACACGCACAATACAAAAATCAAATGTACAGTGTAATAAAGCAGACACATGTAACCACACTCCAACTCAAGAAACAGAACATTGTCATCACTCCAGAACCACTCTACTTACCCATTTGTAATCAAAGCCCCCAAATTATCCTTCCACCTCCACAAAAAAATAATCACATCCACCTCCACAAAAAAATAATCACATTGCCTTATAGCTTTAACACTATTACATTCCTAAATACATTCATAAACACTATATATTAGTTTTTTTTAAACTGTATATAAATGAAATCATGTTATATAATCCTTTAGTCTAACTCATTTTTAAGATCAGTTATTTCTTGGGGTGCCTGGGTGGCTCAGTTGGTTAAGCAACTGCCTTCGGCTCAGGTCATGATCCCGGAGTCCCGGGATCGAGTCCCGCATCGGGCTCCCTGCTCGGCAGGGAGTCTGCTTCTCCCTCTGACCCTCCTCCCTCTCATTCTCTCTGTCTCAAATAAATAAATAAAATCTTTAAAAAAAAAAAAAAAAGATCAGTTATTTCTTATAAATGTAGTTCATTCTTTTTCATTTTATACTATTCCCTTATATGAACATACTGCTATCAGCTATTATTTTTGCCAGACTTAGAATTACTGGGAAATGGGGAATGTGTATTTTCAGAGTGGTCTGAACAGTTTTAAGTTCCACCAACAATATGGGACACTTTTTGTACATCCTAACTTACTTGACGCATTTTAGCTAACCTGATAGTATGTTCCTTTACATATACTGCCATTTGGATTTCTTCTTAAGAACTACACAAACTCTAGATAGTTGCAGGTTAGGTGATGATACATACTGAGTTGCCCAAAATACCCAGTGTGTGTTTGTGGGCCTAGGGTAAGTATTAAAAGGCCATTGAACAAAGGTATAGGACTCACATTACCGGATTTCAAGACTTACAGTTAGTATATAGTTTGTATGTGGCTCCCACATCAAGCCATATACAGAAAGTAACTCAACAGATTACAAACCTAAAAGTTAATTCTATATAACTGAAAGATACAAAATGGAAAGTGGGCTTGCCTTCTGTAATGTTTGCTAGTGTAGTCCTTTTGTCAATAGGGCCATAAAAACATTTAAAAAAGTATGTATTTCCTTCAGCAGGATATACACCTGGGCTCTGATCCATGTTCATCTCATTTTGCAAAGAACAGAAGATGTTTTATCTATCTAGCTTGTTTGAATAATTAAGAGAGTGTACTGAGGTTATAAGAGAATGCACACTGTCACACTTAGTCACTCTGGTTCCCATTTGATCTCCAGCTTTCACTGAAGCCAATTTCACAGAAGCAGAGACTTGATATGACCTCCAGGTTCTTTTTAAGATTTAAGAATAACTCTCCAAGAAAATTCCATATTTTCTAAGTAAAGTATTCCTGACAGTGGTGGATTAGGGAGTTTGGGCCAATTCCTGGGCTAAGGACAAGTAGAAAAGCTAGACAAGACATAACATCTGCTTTAAGACTTCATAGAACTAAGATAGTAATCACCAGCCCATAATCTAGGAAAAGATGGAAATCCTGAGAGAGAAGCTTAGCATTTGGTGCCATTTCCTCCTGGAAATTGGGAGACACCAAACAATAATTTCAGTAACTTTGCAGAACTAGGAGGATAAATGCTGATATTTAAATCTGCATGGGTATCATCCTTGAAAAGTTTCAATGTAGGAATAATGAGCCAGCCCTTACCTAGGGGTGGCAGGCTAGCTTTGTATATCGTCCCTTAAATTGGATTAAGATCATTCTAGCTTGCTGGTTTCCTAGATAACCTAGCAGAAACCAAATCCTCTTTAGAAAGGGAAACAACCTAGGCCTGAACTTCCTCATACAATTTCTTCAATATGTTTAGAACACATAAAAAGGCCTGCACATTGGGAGATAAGATCACATGAACGACAGGAAAAAACCCCCACACAATAGAAACAAGACCCACAGAGCTCTAGACCATGGATTTATTCATATAAGCTTAAAACAACTATGCCCACTATGTTAAATAAAAGATTGAAAATGTCATTGGGTCAGCTCTAAACCATAAAAAAAAAAGATGGGATAAATTCTAGACCTGAAAAACAGAATAAGTAAAATGAAATCAGTGAATGGGTTTAACATCAGATCAGCCATAAGTAATGAGAGAATTTAAGGAGAAAATACACAGAATGGAGGAGCAAAAGGAGAGACCCAAATAAAGAGGGTTTGTGTTTAATCAATCTCAGAAGGCAAAGAGAATGGGGGAGAAGCAATATTTAAAGAGATGACTAACGTTAAGCGTCTGCCTTCGGCTCCGGTCATGATCCCAGGGTCCTGGGATCGAGCCCCGCATCGGGCTCCCTGCTCAGCGGGGGGCCTGCTTCTCCCTCTTCCACTCCCCCTGCTTGTGTTCCCTCTCTCGCTGTGTCTCTATCAAATAAATAAATAAAATCTTAAAAAAAAAAAAGATGACTAAGAATTTTAAACCTTGCTGTTGAAAACCAACAAGCTCAACAAATCCAAAGTAGGACATATTAGGAGTCTGAAAATGATACATCATGCAATCATCTTAATAAAGCTGATAAAACACTATTTTATTTATCAGACAAAATAGGCTGTAACAAAAAGTGTTACTGAAGATTTGGTATTCCCAAAAAACTGAAGGTTCAATTTACCAAGAAAGTTCCAAGTGTATATAACACCTAATAATATAGGTTCAAAACACATAAAGAAAAATTGACAGCTCAAGGACAATTAGGCAAACCTGTTAATTGCCTACAATTTTAACACATCATCCTCAGCAAGTAGTAAGTTTCAGGGACATTTATAGACACACCTGTGTAGACTATATGTTGGGCCACAGAGCAAATTTCAACCATTTTCAAAGGGTTAAAGTCAGAGTATCTGACCACGATGCAATTAAGGTAAAAACAGATAATAAAAGGGTAACTAGAAAATCACCACATTTGAGTATCAAGAAATGTACATCTAACCCATGGTTCAAGGAAAGTACAATGGAAATTAAAATATACATTAAACTGAATAATAGTTCACATCAAAAATTTGTGAGAATGGAACTTAAGCTACATTTGGAGTAAATTTATAACTTTAAATTCATATACTGGGAAAAGAAATCAACACATTAAAAAGAACACCTCCTGTCCAAGGAAATAGAAGAAAATTGACACAAATTAATGAAATAAAAAACATACTGTAGAAAGTGTCAGCAAAGCCATAAACTGGTTTTTGAAAGGAAAAAAAATTAACAAAATTGATTTAAAACTGCCAAAGCAAATGAGCATGGTAATGAGGGAGAGAACAGAGACAGAAACACATAGGGATGTGAGACAAAAAAAGAAAACCAATGTTAGGAATGAAAAGGACATCATTATAGAATCTGCAAACATTAAAATTAAGGGACATGAGCAACAATTTTAACTTGAAAATTTAGATGAAATGGACAAATTCCTTGAGAAACACAATTTCAACAAAACTGACGTAAGTAAAAAACCAAATCATCCTGTGTCTATTAAATAATTAAATCAGTAATTAAAAACCTTTGCACAAAGAAAAATCTAGGCCCAAATGTTTTACTAGCAAATTCTATCAAACACTTTTATTTCACGCATGCAAATTTAGTTTAACACTGTGAACAAAAAGTCTCTAATTCACTACATTAACAGAATAAAAGAGGAAAATCAGAATCATCTCAGTAAAAAAAAAAAAAAAAGCCCATTTGATAAGATTCATTCGTGATAAAAACTCAGCATATGGAAAAATACCAAAAACTTCCCATGTGAGGTGCCTGGGTGGCTCAGTGGGTTAAGCGTCTGCCTTCGGCTCAGGTCATGATCCCAGGAACTGAGCCAGCATCCCCACATCAGACTCCCTGCTCAGAGGGGAGCCTGCTTCTCCCTCCCCTCCCTGCTTGTGCTCATTCATTCTCTCCTGTCGCTATTTTTCTCTCTCAAATAAATAAAATCTTAAAAAAAATTTAAAAATGGGTGCCTGGGTGGCTCAGTAGGTTGAGCATCTGCCTTCAGCTCAGGTCCTGATTCTGGGGTCCTGGGATCGAGTCCCAAGTCGGGCTCCCTGCTCGGTGGGAAGTCTGCTTCTCCCTCTCCTCCCTGCTTGTGCGCTCTCTCTCTCGCTATCTCTGTCACTCTCTCAAATAAAATCTTAAAAAAAAAAAAAACTTCCCATATGAGACAGGACAAAACACAAATGTTACCTTTTCTATGCAGTACTATACTAGATGTCCTATTGGTGCAGCATAAGAAAAAAAAATGTAACCACTAGAAAGGGAGAGAGAAAACTGCCATTATTCCTCAATTATGATAGCACGTTTATAATAATCTGAATTGTTAGAATTTAACAGGTTGTGGAGTATAATTTCAACATACAAAACCAAACTTCCTATATGCTGACAATTGAAAAATAAAATTTTGTAAGACATCAAAAAATAACATATACTGTAATAAAAATTATGAAAATGTGCAAGGCCTATTTAAAAACTGGAAATAAGAAATTAAAGATGACCAAGCCCTAAATTGAAGGATATCCCATGTTCATAGACAGAAGACACAATATTTCAAAGGTGTTCAAATTATTCTACAGTTTCAATGCCCAATCAAAAGCCTGACAAGATTTTTCTTTCTTTTTATGGTGTTACTTAACAACATGGTTCTGAAATTTATATAAAAAAGCAAAAAAGGGCCATAAACAACCAAGGAAGATTAAAGAACAAGGTTGGGATGGGAGAAGGACTTGCTTTACTGTATCTTAGTTATCTTAAGCCTACAGTAAGTCAAGACCCAAAGGTAAGAACTCTCTGTAATGTAACAGACTCCAGAAAGAGACTCATGGACACTTGATTTATACTGCATAGGAGTACTGCAAAGGTGTAGGAAAAGTATATATTTTTTTCAAGAAATGGTGCATATTTATATATACATATGCAAAACAAAACAAAAAGCATCCAAAAACAGTTCACACTACTCAACGAATGAATTCCAGACGGACTACAAAGCTAAATACAAAATAGTAACTTTCTGGAAAAGAATACAAGAGACTATCTTCACATCTCAGAAGGGTTTTTTATACAGGGTATAGAAAGCTATAGGCATACAAAAGATTGAAAAATAAGGCTACATTAAAATAATAAATTCTTAGGCAGTTTGCAACCCAAATGATGAAGGGCCCTATATACAAGATAAAGAACTACGACAAATAATAAACCAGAAAAATGGACTAGAATCAAAACCTATATAAAAGGATTTCCAAATGGCCATCCTCACCAATAACCTGGAAAAGGCAAATTAAACAAAATGAGAAATCATTATTCACCCACCAGAAAGGGAAAATTAGATTAATATGGGCTAATTAGGATATGAGAATTACAAGAACCCTCATATCCTACTTAGCAATTCTACTCTATTAGGTAAATACCCACCAAAAAATGTATGCATATATGCTCTGAGAGAGATGCAAAAGGATATTCCTATAGTATTTGTAATATCCTCAACCTGTAAACAATGCAAATATCTACCAACAACAGTGTGAAGTGGGGTGAAGAGAAAGAAAGTGACACACACAAGGAATACTATTTATCAGTGAAAATAAAAACATTGCATGCAACATTCTGGATCAATTTCATAAAAACTGAGGAAAAGAATACAAAAAATACTTTGATTCCATTTATGCTGTTTAAAATGTAGGTGCAATTAAACAGTTATGTTTAGAGAGAAATACTTAAGTATTAGAATCAGAAATCCGTAATTACTATGAAAGCTAGGGGAGTGGTTACCTTTGGGGGGGGGGGGGACTAGGACAGGCCAGTGACTGGGTTATAGCATGAGGAAACTTCTGGAGTACTGGCACAATTCTGTTCTCTTGACCTGAGTTGTGGTTACAAAGTTGCTCATTTTGTGGTAATTAACTAAGGTATAGTTTTTGTGATTCTGTGTTACATTTCACAGTAACAGAAGTTTATTTCAAGAGAATTAAACATCTGACATTTGTTTAGGGATGGTCTGTCTCAATTTCCTACCATCTCAATTGTAATTGCTGTTGAGCTCTCCATCTATCCACTATTCCACCTAAGTACCCTAATTGAGGATTATGGGCAGCAAGGTAGATGTCTGACAAAACCCCCATCAAGCAGCAGCAGTTCCAGCAAGATGAAGAGAATTCTGGAGACTGGTTGCATGACAGTGTACTCAAAAGTACTGAATTGTACATTTAAGAATGTACAGTTGTGAGATGGTAAATTGTTATATATTTTTTGCCACAAATAAAATTAAAAAAAAAAAAAAAGGGAAGAACGTGCAGTAGCTCCAAATCTCATCTTATGGCCCTTTAGTTATGAAAACAGTAATACGCTAGAAGATGCTTTTATACTATCTACCCCTCTGGCCTCTTGGTCATGGCTTAGAGACTCAAATGAAGTAAATCTCTACAAATGCAAACTCAAGTAGGTAATAATGTAAGTTTGAAAACTGAATTTTATCTTTGGATTTGCTGTCTCACTTATACTCCAAAGCACTCAACTTTTTCAATTCTAAAACGTGGGACAAAAACAAAAGCTGTTTTATAGCCTAAATTCAAAGCTATGATCTTTAATACCTCCCTCTGTGATGTATGGGGTTAGTGATCACACATGAATTTAGAGATTTAAAGAATATTCTGAGCCAATTATTGTATATTGCAATGTATTTAAACTACTATAATTTCACTTTTGTGCTACAGTAAAACCACACATGGGGTTACAGTATGGTGTTTTACTGAACCACTGAACCAAAATGGTGTTCCCTAAAACTGAGAAAGGTGGAAGATAATTTCTTTTAATCAGAAAATTCTACAATGAAGACTTGACTGGTTATATACTTTATGGAGCAGGGCTTTTGTTAAAGACCTATCCTCATTTAAAGGAGATAAAGTTCCTACTTGGCTAGGTATCTTCCCCCTCTCCCTTTCACTCATTCATAAAAAGTCAAAATACGATTTTAATTCTTGAGTAGAAAGAAGGGAAAATAAAATAGTAGGTCGAGGTTGAAGTAATTTAGCACTTCTTTTCTATAACAGTCCTCCCATTATCTGAGGGGGACATGTTCTAAGACCTCCAGTGGATGCCTAAGCATGTGGACAGTACCCAACCCTATACATTCATTCTGTATTTTCCTACACATAATACCTATAATAAAGTTTAATTTATAAATTAGGCACAATGATTAACAAAACAGAATGACAAAAATCTACTGTAATAAAAGTTAGTGTGAATGTGGTCTCTTTCTTAAAAGATCTTATTGTATTGTACTCACCCTTCTCGTGATGATGTGAGATAAAATATCTACGTGATGAGATGATGTGGGGTGAATGATGTAGGCATTGTGATGTGAGTTAGGCTACTACTGACCTTCTAAGATGCATCATAAGGAGGATCATTTGCTTCTGGATCACGTTGACTGCGGGAAACTGAAACTGAGGAATGCCAAACCACAAACAAGGGGGGAGGACTACTGTACACATATTCTCTAAAATCTTTGTAAAAGTGAACAAGGAAGGAATTATGCGTTCAGTACTCTGAAACTCCTTTCAAAAATGAAATTTTTATGAAAGACAACACTTAACACAAAATTTGAATTAACTTTATTTCCCCTACAGTCAACAACTTCTCTGCATTGAATTTTAAAGCAATAAAGTAAAATAAAATCCCCCAAATGACAAGGTATCAGAAATCCAGATTTAGTTACACTTTATTTGTGAAAATGTTCAGCCATTTTATTGGTCTGTAAAAGAACCATCATCTGGGTCAAAAATGACTTCTATAAATCAAAGAATATTCTACACTTTGGAAAAGAAAATCAGCAGTAACATTCTCACTGAATATTGTAAATTACACTTTTCTTCATAAAAGGTACATACTATTCTGCACTTTTCCACCAAAAAACAGTGGTAAGTTACGCTTGTTTATATAAAAAAAAGTTATATTCTGTGGCAGGAAAAACCCTTTCTCTTTCACTTTTACTAAACAACTGGAGAAAATTTTCAAGTCTATATAAAGTTGCCTATAAGCTGGAAAATGAACATGTTCAATCTCCATTTATATTTTAGTGCATTTTTTGACAATTGTCACATTTTTAATAAAAGTAAGAAAATGCATATAGCATTAAAGAGTGTTTCATCAAATGCTTCAGGGATTAAAAAAATAAATGGAGCAGAGGATAAAATCATTGTGATGGAGGAAACTATTATAAAATGAAAGAAATCCAGGCAAAGTTTACAAATCCTTTGTCATTTTGAAGAGTCACAGAAAATGAACTTTGGATACCTGTCCACTTTAAGGGTTTTTTCCTTAATCTTTTGCATGTAAACATAGTGCTAATCTCAGTGATACCAAACCCCATCCTGGTAAGCAACATTCTGTGCAGTTGCCATGCCTTCCAAAGGATATAAATTTAGCCCTTGAATGAACAATGCATGAGATCTGCTCTGTTAAGTACCTGGTGAAAACAACTGCTAACAGCAGCAATGTGTCAACATAAAAGACTATTTGCATCAATCAGTTACTCAGAGGTCCATCTTTGAAACAGCAGCTTCTTTGACAGAGCAAACAGTAAGCAACAGAAAATGTACATTTGATGAAACAATCTTTGCACTGGAGAAACATGAAAATAAATATAGTTCAAGGAAGTATAATTATTTTTCTAATATCTCTTTTTCAGACCTGTACTAGTTTACTGGTTCAAGAAACTCACATCACATTTTGTCATTTGTATTTTACATATTGCTATTTGGGTAATTCAAATAAAATGTAGGTCTTGTAAAAAATAAAAACATTGACAAGTATGCATGTGCCAGGGACCAAATTAGAGGGTTCTTTGGTGCAATTAGTCCAAATTCTCAGATTTGAAGGATAATATGTACCAATAAAAAAAATCTGCTGTTAGACATTTACAGCAGTGCTCTGTCTTGCTTCACACTACAAATAGAAAATAGCTGTTCTCAATAAGCCAATTTTATTTTTTAAGTCAGACATTGCCAGAAAATTTTGTACATTAATCTGGACCAGTGATGGTTCTGTACCCTCTGTTGTGAAACATGACATGAGCTAAAGGCAAAGACCGGTTCACACAAGGACAACTGCGCTTCAAGTTAGGAACCAGAACAGTGTATTTAAACAGTCTTCTTAGATATTTTCTTGCCCTTCTTAACAACTAGCTTATTTTTAATGTAGCC